CATGTCCCCCCCCATAAAATGAATCCTAGAGACGACACTGTTCATAGGACGGTCCACCTGCTCTCTTCCTAGCCCTACTTTGCCCGAAAGGCTGGGCAGTAAAGATTGGCAGATATACCTGATGCAATATGGTGGTTTCTTATTGAATCTGACACTGAATAAGATTACAGTAGTGTTTGCTCTAAGCATTATTTTTGTGAGGTTTCCTGCACTGACACGTATCAGAAAAGTAAGCTTAAAAGCATTATTACTCTTTTGTTTCCATAGGAACAAAATGTGCCCAATGTAGGGTGTAGTTATTATTTTAAATATTTAAATTAGCTTGATCACAAAAAGTACTTAGAGGTAACATTTCAAACATAACACTGTAATGACCGACATCAAACAACACATCTACCACAACAAAGATGCAAATTTCAGTCCAAAACAAATTAGTAAAAATAGCTGAAATTTAAACTCTTTTTTTTTTGTCCAACTGCCTGAAATCCTTCAGACTGGTATCCAGAAACTCATCTTTTTGGCACAACGATGGTTAAAGAATTTAGGTTTATCTATTTTGTGCCCAAACAGCTGCAAAATTTGCTTTTTTTTCTTGTCTGTTTTACATTATTTCCAGTAGTTTAAACAATTTTGTCTAACCCTTTCTGTTCCTCTGGACATCTCTGTATACCAGTGTTTTTTTTTCATTTCTCCGATCTTTTACTGTCTTTCTTTTTCCAGTAGGTGGCATTAGCAGTAGTAGCAGCCAATAATAGTGACAAGTGTGCCTTGTGTCCAACGCAGTTCTAATCAGACACTTCAGAGATTAATGGAGGTTTATATTTGTTAGTAAGCCAGGATGCAAAGAGAGAGTTGCATAAATGCAGTGCCCGATTAACAGATTAGCACAGCAATATGCTTCTGGGCTCAGAGGGTCAGATTTATAAGGCAACATGGGCACATGTCTAGGTAATATTTGTAGATGTTAAATAATAGTGTTCTGAAAAACAAACAGAAAAAAAGCAACTGCTTCATTTGCATCTCAGCAACGGAACCTTTAGAATAGGTATCGTTAAGTATGGAAAGTAAAGAGCTCTTAGGTCTTGCCCTTGATTCTCAGTGAATGAGGAAAGTCTCATGCCTAGAGGCAGATTAAAGCTTGAGAGAGCCTCAAGGGGTGTGCACATTCGGGGGCCCTCATTTCTAGTCAAGAAGGGCTGGGGTACAAAAGCACATACAGTAAAATAATATTAGACACACTAAGGGGTTTATTCACTAAACACTGCGTTGTAGTAAATCAAAACCCAGAGGCATACCTAGATTCAATGGCACCCGGGGAGGAAATTCATTTTGGCAGCCCCCCGGAACTGTAGTACACATTCATATACACACTGGAACACATGTACACAGACATTGATCCACATACACACATACTCATATACAAGCACACTGACACATGTAAACACGCACACCAGGGCCGGACTGGGGATACAAAGCAGCCCTGGAAAAAAAATTTGTGCCAGCCCCATAAGTCACTGCGCCATATATTGTCGCGTGTAATATGTAAGGCTATGTCTTGCCAGGACAGATAATCGAGTAATATATATATATATATATATATATTGCTTTTTCTAATATAAAATATTGGTCCTTTCAGGGTAAAACGTTTAATTATACAGTAAGCATACGCACATGCAGACACAGGCAATTTCACTGACATTTCAGTGACACACACAAGCTCATTGATACACAGCCTCATAGACAAACAATCTTACTGATATACATCAGCTCATTGACATAAAAACACAAGCTCACTCACTAGCAGGCACACGCATGCAAGCAAGCTCACTCACTAGCAGACGCACACACAGCTTAATGTGGTGGTACTGGTGTCTATAGCATGTCCCTACAGGCTTTTCAACGTAAACACTGACTTTTCAGAGAAAAGGCAGTGTTTACATTGCTTCAAAGTGACATTGCTAGTGACAGTCACTCAGACGGTCACTAGAGGTGCTTCCTGTGTTAGTGCCCTCCCGCCCTCGCGCGCTGCTGAATGAGACTGGCGCCGGAATATGACGTCATATTCCGGCGCCGGTCTCATTCAGCTGCGTGCTGGGGAGCAGAGCCAGCGCAGCTCGCGCAGCTCCCTCAGCGGCCGCCAGGACAAGTCCGCCAGCGGCCGCCAAAAGACCTCCCCAGCGGCCAGGGGAGGGCTGGCAGCCTTAGGCCTGGGGGGCAAAACCAGTCAAGTAGACTGGTGCACCTGCCCAGGATCAGAGCCGGTGCAAGGATTTTTGCCGCCCTAGACAAAATAAAAATTTGCTGCCCCCACATGTCACATCACAATGCCCCACCCATATGATCTGCCATATGAACTAACGCCAGTGCTGCACACAGTGTGTGTTTACATTAAAAAGCCTGCAGGGACCAGCTATAGACACCAGAACCACTTCATTAAGCTATAGTGTCCCTTTAATGTGAGGTAAATTATAGATTAGTGTCACTAATAATATACTAGATTGCCTACTTACAAGCAGATGAGGATGATGATGGGCTGCAGTTTGGCTCCACTGGTCTGGTGTAGAACAGGATCTCTGGAGGCTGTTTGCAACTGTGGTCACAAAATTCAATGTTCTGGGAGAATTGGAAGCAGCTCAATTTTTTGGGGCCCCTTACACAGCTCAAGGTCTGGGCCCCAGGGCCTGACGGTGAGTATGCCCATAAGGCCCACTCATAAGTTCCACCCACCCATGAGTTCGCTCACAGGGAGTGGAGTGTGTAGGGGATGTGTTATTGTAGAGGATCTAATATGTGTGCTTATGGTATGTAGTGTTTAGGGTTACCAGTTTGTGCAGGTGATGCAGTGTGTTTGTGTGTAGTGGAAGCAGTGTGTATTTGTGTATAAGGGATGTATTATGTGTTTCTGGTTGTGTGTAAGGGATGCTTTGTGTGAATCTGTGTTTGTATGCATAAGGGATGCAAGGTGTGTGTCTGTATGTGTGTGTACGGGTTTGCATTGTCTGTTTCTGTGTATGTGTGCAAAGGATGCATTGTCTTTGTGTGTAAGGGTTGCATTGTGTGTGTGTGTGTAATGGATGCATTGTGTGTTTCTCTGTGTGTAAGGGAAGCATGTTGTGTTTCTGTGTATGTATAGGGATGCATTGTGTGTGTGTGCGCGCGTAGTGTGAAAGAGCTCCTGTCTTGGCCCCTGTCCTATAGAGCTGCCCCTTCTTCTTATTCCCCCCTCCCCTCTTCTTATTCCCCCCTCTTTTTATTCCCCTTTTAATATTCCCATCTACTTCTCCCTCTTCTTATTCCCTCCCTCTTCTTCTTTTTCCCCTCCCTCATCTTTATTCCTCCTCATCTTATTCCTCCCTCTCTTCTTATTCCCCTCCCCATCTTATTCCTCCCTCCTCTTCTGCCCTCCCTCCCTCTTCTTATTCCCCTCCCTCTCTTATTCCCTCCCTCTTCTTTTCTTATTCCCCTCTCCCTCATCTTATTCCCTCCCTCCCTCTTCTTATTCCCTCCCTCCTCTTTCTATTCCTCCTCCCTCCCTCCCCTCTTTTTATTCCCCCCTCCCCTCTATTCCCCTCCCCTCTTCTTACCCCCCCTCCCTCTCTTCTTACCCTCCCCCCCTCCCTCTCTTCTTACCCCCTCCCCTGTAGTGTGGCCGAGCTGCACTCCGGTCCGCGGTGGCCGGCCGGAGTTATAGGAAGGTGCACACTGAGTGTGCACTTCCTGTCAGTCCGGCCGGTTACAGGAAACAGAAACTCCACGCGGAACACTCAGTGTGCACCTTCCTATCACTCCGGCCGGCCGGCCACCGCGGACCGGAGTGCAGCTCGGCCACGCTACAGGGGAGGGGAGGGGAGAAGCTGCAGCCGCCTGAGGCTCTTAATAGAGCGCTCGGGCGGCTGCAGTATTTAAAGGGCCGGCCCGCCGCGGCCGGTCTTGCCAGTGAGAGGAGCAGGGCCGCCGGACCGGGGAAGCTGCCACCCGGCCCGGCGGCTCCAGCCAGGAACCCGGCCGGCCCCCAGGTGCCGCGGCCCACCGGGAAATTTCCCGGTATCCCGGTGGGCCAGTCCGGCCCTGGGTCAGGGCACATATTTTAGTTTAATGAAGCAGTTTTGGTGTGTATATCATGCCCCAGCAGTCTCACTGCTCAAATACCTGCAGTTTAGGAGTTAAATCACTTTGTTTTTGCAGCTCTTTTGGACTGTTGATTCACAAAAGAAAGAGGACGTTGAGTGGTGTGATCCTGTCAATACTGTCAACAGTGATTTGGAACCGTTCACACAAATAAAGAAAATGCATCTATTCATATTATTAATGTTATTAATTCATCCATGAAGAGATTACTTTTATATTGTCATGGTAGACTGCATATAATGAATTTTACATTGTCATGGCAGTCTATTGCAGCTTGCACAGCAGCCATTTTATTTATTAAGATAATGGGATAGTAGCCATTTTTTTATTGGTGTTCCAATTCCAACAGGTCCAAATCAGAAATACCTGGGTTATTGAATAGTGCCAGGTTAAAACCGATAGGTTCAATGACGGGTTTTTATAATAATGACCATCATCCATTTTTAATTCACCAAGTCATTCAGTCACATTATTCCACACCTACATCAATTGTTGAAATGAGTGTGGACTGAATGGGTTGAGGTGAATAATGCTAATATGACTGAATGGCTTGGAGAGTTAAAAAATGGATGATGAGCATTATTTAAAAAAATAAAATAAAAAAAAACAAGGGAGATGAGATTTATGTTTTGAAAATGCCAATCATCATCCATTTTTAAACACTTCAAGTGACTTAAGCCAGATACTGCAATGCAGACCACACTACCCTAATTGATGTGGGCAATGCAAATGGGACTGAGAGACTTTTAGTCCTGTGTCATCTCTGTCCTCAGTTTGCCAGTGCTATCTAAGTCCCCAAAGAGCTTGCGGGTGTGGCAGTGCCTTCTCTGTCCCCAACAGCAGGCAGATGATGCATAAGGAGCAAGTATAAGGCCCTATTTCCTTTTTATATGTGTCCAGGATATGAACAGTGTATTTTTCAATTGTGTTTAAAATGCAATTTCCCTATTCAGAAATAATAATGGTGTAGTGTGCAGGTGCAAGTCCCGTCTGAGCAGTAGGGGTGCAAGAGCTAGTCCAATCTATGCAATAATGTGTGTGCTGAAGAAGGGAATGAAAACAAGAAATCAATTTTTTCCAATAAAAATGTTATTCCATGTTAAAAAAGGTTGCATATAATATTAAAAAGGTTGCATATAATATTTTAAAAGGTTGCATATAATATTTAAAAAGTTGCATATAATACACACACACGTTTTATAATTGCCCCCCTACTTGTCACTGGCTCCCCATGTGCCCCCCTAAATACGAATGCTGGAGACGCCACTGATAGCAGGGTCTATTATGTGTAGGTGAGTGTGTGTGGAGGACCCAGAGTGTGTAGGAGATCTAATGTGTCTACAGTTCTACCCTATGACCTTTCTCATACCTTCTAAGTTCAACATGATAGAACTGGGTTCCTGATGTTATTAATACCTAAAAATGTGCAACCTGTTATTAGTCTGAAGTAGACTGTATATTGTTTTATTCTGGCTCTTGTTGCTGACTTATGTGCACATATTCATTGTTTATCACTGCACATAAAGAATACAAAAAAAATAAATTAAATAATAATAATAATAATAATTAAAAAAAAACAATTTGACACTCCTGAATCCAGAAAACCATTCAAGTGATCACAAATGTAAATATTACAGTAATAAATGGGGAACATGTGAGAGACAAAACAGAAAATAGTAAAGTTTAAGTTAAATATTAGTAAATATATCACAAGAGAATATTTCCATCCGAAACCGCAGGAAAAGAACAATGTGTGTGGGTAATAACTAATTCTTACAATGAAAAGAAGGTAACATTGGATGAAAGCACACCATGTAATCAAAGAAAAGTGATAATGTCGATTGTGATGCTGGGAGTGAAATGTGTTCAACATATCTATTTCTGCTTTAAGATGAACTAATGCAGTAGCCCAGTAGTTTGAAATAATTATTAACAATACCTCCAGAGTTACCCTTTTAAAAGGAACTGTCTAAGCAGCACAATCGCTACAGCACACTGTGATGGTTGTGGTGCGAGGACTGTCCTGGCACCTCCAACTTATTAGTAGTCAAACCATTTTAGTGCTGACACTTTATTATCAACTGACACTCTCAACCAATGAGATAGCCCCGCACTGCTAGGCTTAGCTAAGGAGAACTAATAGAAGTTCCATTATACTCTATAATCGTGAGTTTGTAAGGTTGAGGGCCAGGAATTCAGAGTTTTTGCAGCATGTTTTCCAAATGTATAAATGTATTTCTCCCTTACAGTCTAAAACGATATCAGATTCTTCTTCTTTAATGCAGCTGTCAAGTTTTTTTTGTTTTGTTTTTTAAATAATTGCAACATTTTGTGATATTGCATTATTTCTAGCCTTTTTTCAGAAGGGGTGAGAGATCTGCTGGAATACCGATCCATTCAGGAAGAAAAGCAGCTTCATACTTGAAAAGTTTGAGAAAAGGAGAATCGGGTAAGGTATAATTTGAAAGGTAAATTGTCTCGCCTCCCACCAGATATCCAACCCAGATGCCAAATGTCCCTATAGTCATGATAGTGTGGTTACAGTGTGCCAGGAGGGCAAAGTCTCGTCCAGGAGAACCTTCCTTTCCATCTCCAGCAAAGTGGACATCCCCTAATGAATTATTAATGTTCTTCTTGCACCAATCCATACCATTACTGGTCACCACAAACAATGGATTTTCATACTTGTTTCTGAAATAGTCCATGGCTTTCTGCAAGTATCCCTTGTCAGCGATTACACCTTTCCATGTGTTTGGCATTACATACACATAGTCTCCTCTTCGGACGTGTACTCCAACAAAAGTGACATTTTTCCGGTCTCCCTGGAATTTAGCAAGGTAATCATTGCTTTCTTTTTTAACATAATTATGAAAAGTAAACTCCTTGAGAATCTCATCCCTTATGTGATGGTAGAAAGTAAATGAACAAGGACAACCAGTTAATTGAACATATTCCCCTTGGATATTATTGTATTCTGGAGACATCCAATCATGAAGCCAATATTTTCTCCATGGAATGGTCTTAACAACATCTGAGTGAAGCACTGGCAGTCGAAGTTTAAAGATTTTGGATAACTGTGCATGCATTTCCGGCAAGATATATGCTTCACGACCATTCAGTTTTGCCAGTGCATAGAGTGTGGCGTACTCTCCCATTAAATTACCTAGACGATTATTAACATTTACTGTCCACATACCAGTGAGAGACCTCTCTGTATCTTTTGCTGTGGCTATTGTAGTCCGTTGAAGTTGTACTGATTCTTTTTTTTTGAACACGTCTCTAAGCAATTTAATCTCTGGCATTGAAATAACCGTTGAGACGCTATGGTAAAAATAGGACATGCTGATAATGAAGAAAAAGACCATCACATATAAGCCAATCAATAAAGGCTGGTACTTCATTTTAGTGCTGTTACCTGTCGTAAAAAGTAAATAAATACATTTAAAACAACTACATGAATGGAAATACACAAAACATCTTAAATACACTTTAACTTGTCATTTTATTAATCAGCGTGTGTTTAAAGATAAAAAAAACATTCTGGTTTAAAATGAAAGTGGTCCTCAATTTAAAAATATAAAAAGTGAGGTTAGGTCTCCAAATGAAAAATAGATGGGACCTCTATTATAAAAATATCATAAATGGTAAGAGACTTTATTGAAAACCAAATACACAAAACATAAACAAATCCATGTATAAAAGGTTTGTACACCTTTTACACATGTAAAACAAAAAAAACAGCAATACACCTTTAAAAACCTGGGGTAAGAATAATCATATAAATGTGTATATATAGAGCAATACTTGTGGTATATACTATTGGTTGAAATCAGTATGTATAGACAGATCTCTCATATATATATTTTAAATCAGGTTCTGAGTATAGTATGAGCATTCATTCCATGCTTCTGTCTCAAATATAGGTAACAAAGTGTCTTATAATAATTAGACGCTGAACATGCTGTGTCCAAGTGACAAGTTCTCTGGTCTATAAAGGTGGCTACTCTTGGCTGCATGCAATAATAAAGTATAGAGCCCTTGTTAGCAAAGAAGGATAACTGATATGAATAGTTCTAATGGTCTTAGAGGATACGCTGTAACAGGTTTAAGAGAAACTTAAACAAAGAAAAAAAAACAGGAGGTAAAATTGTATAAATGGCTAAGCAATAAGGCAGCGTTGAAACAGTTTCTAACTTGTGCTATCAAGCTCTCAGCCCCCACACAGTAGACTGACCAGCTGCCTGCAGAGTGCAAACTAGAGGCTATAGTCACTATCTAGCTACCATTGCTGCTTCAAGGCAGCCCATAATCACCATTGAGCTAACACTGCTGCTTTAAGGCAGCCTACCTAGTAAGCCCCAAAGTACTGACTAGAACTTAGCGATAAGACACTAGAGAGCTATAACAAACAGAGAAATCTACCACAGGGTAACATTTTTAAAAAACATAGTAGTGTATCAGCATAGAGCTCGACACGTGTTTCGGCAAGTATGTCTGCCTTTCTCAAGAGCTGTGGTTCTTAATTTAATTTGGGTTATTTTGCACATGGTATTTTTCATTAATTTGATTTTTAAAGCTCTTGCATTTTTTGTAAAGTTTTTAGAATACATTTCTTTTATATGAATAGTGATACATTGTGTTTCCATTAGCATTTTCACTTGTTACTATGAAATCTCAGCTCTAGACAGCCAAATCTCCTCTACATCAGAAAAATGTTTGATCGGGGTCCTCGCCAAACTATTGTTCTTGACAAAATTTGTAATAATTTGTCTCATTTGTTGTTAATTTCTCCCCTTTATAATACTGAACTACGGGAGCCCCGCCTCGAGAGACCCGAGCTAATAGAGAAATGAGGAGACGCTGTTTTTATAGTCGTTACAATTCATACATAAATCTTTATGAAAAACCTCCACTAAAAGCTTGAGAATCCGCTACTTACGAGGCTGGACAGCCTGCTCCGGAACCTGGAAGATTTGAAACTGACGCAGATTAACAGAGCAAGAGAGGAGGAGCTCTGCGACTCAACACAGGCTGAATTGAAGATTTGTTACACTGGATACAATTTATCTAAAAGGAGTAAGCAATAACCTTTGCGGTTAAAAAGTTACTTTTGCTGTTACTTTGTTTGTAAAAGTGTTGCAATTACAAAAATAAGCTAATAAACAATTAGGGAATTAGCATGATCTCAACTAACCTAAATACATATTGGTGTCATGGAGTAACACTTCCGGGTTCGGCACTCAGCTGTGAGGAGCCGGACCCCGCCCCCCTCTGACACAGCTCTGACGGTATTTAGGGAGACTGGGCCAGAGAGAGGGTGCTTGGTGATTGTGTGTGAGCTGCCTCCGCGAGCTCCACAGGCTCAGCTACTGGCAGCTACTTCCACCAGACTTACCTCTCCACAAGCTCAGACAAGCCATTCCAGCCTTGAGCCAATGCAAGGATTGCTGCATGCCAAAAAGGATTACTGGAGAACGGATACTTTGCTACTTTACAAGTGGACCATATCTCTGAAGTTTTGGAGGACTACTCAGATTAACCTTAAGTATATCTTTCAGCTATTTGTCTACAATATTGCTACAAGCTACTAAATATATGGAGGACAACTCCCATCATGCTTATTCACTATGAACTGTTTCTTGCTTTGCAAAGACACTCAATGCTTCAAACTACTAATTACATGGAGGACAACTCTCATCATGCTTATTAACTATGAACTGTTCCTGCTTTGCAAATATTCTTAGCTACTTACTTATTGTTTCTATTGAAGATTATTCTCATGAACTTAAAGAATGTTACTTAATGCATCTTTGAGGAAATACTTATTAATGAACTTTCTGTTGTTGATTACTTGCACTTCCTCTTATTGGATTATTGCCTAAATGCAATTCATTTAAGTTTAACACTTATTAAAACTTCGTTTGAATCAAGTTACCAGCAATTCTCTCTTTTCTTAAAGCTATAGTATTGATACTTTAACCCCTTAAGGACACATGACGTGTGACATGTCATGATTCCATTTTATTCCAGAAGTTTGGTCCTTAAGGGGTTAAAGATTCTCAGTTTCTTCACTATTGTAATTAGGGAGTTTACAAGCTGCAGTTGAGTTCCAATCCAAATCACCCCAAGTAGCGTAACAATTGGTTGATTACCAAAATAAGCAGTGTAGCGTGTAAACAAAGAAATTCGAAATACAAGCACTTAAAAAAAAAAAAAGAGGAAATAAGGAAGGAAAAAAATAAATAATAATAATAATAAAAAAAACTCTGCCAGTTTGATCAATTGAAGGAAGGGAGGGAGGCGGAAGAGAGAGAGAGGGGAAGTGATAAAAGCAATAAAAGCGATAAAAGCACTAAAAAGAACAAGCTTGACAAAAAAACAATGGCTTAAAATTGATTTAAAAAAAATACAACAAAGAAAGAGAGAGAAAAAGAGAAAAAATAGAGAGTAAAATAGAAAAAAGACATTCAAGTAACTTCTTCTCTCCTCAATCAATGAAAAGTATCTCTGAGAAATATAGAAATGATGAACCCCAAAAGGATTTTCAGGATAAATCTTTAGAGGATACAATATCTATCCTGGAAAAATCTGGGGATGTAGATCAACAGTTCTGCCAGACTATTTAAAATCCTGTTTAAATTCCTTATTCTTGCAAATCCAAACAGAGATAACACAAAAAATAATTCTGAAATAAAAGAAAAAAAATTACAATACTAACTAGAAAATCTAAAATTTCTGGGGAAATTGTGTGAAGTGTTCTTGCCTTCACCAGTAGTCTACAACTGGAGTGGGCGGAGTAACTGGGGGGAGTGGCTTGAGTAACTGTTGTGTGGTTGTAGTGGTTGGAGTAACTGTGGAAAGGTTGGACTTGGCAGAGTAGCTTTATGAAACATTGATTAACTGTATTGTTGTAACATTGTATTTTACTGTTTTTCTGTTACAGGTATAACAAATTGACTAACATGGAAATATATGTATTAACCCCTTAAAGATTGAGCCAAATGTACACGTTGTGATCAAAACAAAACGTAAACAAAAACTGGAATTTGCGCTATGTGTATGTTCAGGCGTAATTCGCCTCTTATTATGTGCACCCACACTTATTATATATCATTTTATTCAGGGGAAGCAGGGCTTTCATTTAAAATCAAATATTTAGGTATGAAACATAAGTTAATATGAATAAAATATAAAAAAATTGGGAAAATTAAGAATTAAATTTTTTTTTTTGTTCTACGTGACATTCCAACTGTGAATGTCATAATACTGTTTGCTTTTACTGCAATAAAATACACATATTTGTATTCAGCGATGTCTCACGTGTAAAACAGTACCTCCTATGTACAGGTTTTATGGTGTTTTGGGAAGTTACAGAGTCAAATATAGCGTGTTACATTTTTCAGTTGTTTCACATTGAAATCCGCCAGATTGGTTACGTTGCCTTTGTGACCGTATGGTAGCCCAAGAATAAGAATTACCCCCATGATGGCATACCATTTGCAAAAGTAGACAACCCAAGGTATTGCAAATATGTCCAGTCTTTTTTAGTAGCCACTTGGTCACAAACACTGGCCAAAGTTAGTGTTAATATTTAAAAATGCAAAAAATTAATTTGAACGCCAATTTTGGCCAGTGTTTGTGACTACTAAAGGGGCTACTAAAAAAAGACTGAACCCCATTTGCAATACCTTGGGTTGTCTACTATTGCAAATCATATGCCATCATGGGGGTAATTTTCATTCCTGGGCTACCGTACGGTCTCAAAGGCAACATAACCAACCTGGCAAATTTCAATGTGAAAAAACTTAAACACAAGCCTTATATTTGACTCTGTAACCTTTGAAAACACTATAAAACCTGTACATGAGGGGTACTGTTTGTGGCGAAAGTAACCTCGCCACTGGTTTTGGAGGGGCCTATTTACAAGCCTCCTGCTCTGCGACTATGGCCCTGGGATGTATTGCCCTTCTAGGAACTGATGTGGGCATACTGGAGGCTTATATTGCTGGTTCTGGCCCTTTAACGCCTAAAGAAAGGATTTGTACTTTCAAACTGGCACTTCAGATGCAGGTGAAGTGCCGAAGTCGTCGAAGTGTCGAAGTTCTTGAAGTTGTCTAAGTCGTCGAAGTCGTCGAAGTGGCTGCCATTTGAATAACGAACACGTGGTGGCGGCCATTTTAACTCATTCAAATGCGGTCAGCGGTGTGTGCAACCAAATCTATGGAACCGTTTTCGGCTACCCAATTACATGAACACCGCTGACCCGTACGTTCTACTCTACTTCGACACTGCAGCTGGAGACTAAGTCCTGTTCGAAGATTCAAACGCTCGTTCGAATGGGACATAGTCATTTTCTCGGTGTAAAATAGACCGACCGCACAGCCCAAATCCATGGAACTGTTTTGGGCAGGAAAATATGCCTGCTGTCGGTCACAAAGGACCTCCGACTAACTTTTGAACTAATGGAAGGATTTGCATGATTTTGGTTATGTTTATATTTAAAGTATGCTGATTCAGAATATGTATGTTTTATGTGAATATGATGCATATTTTTAAAGTTACAGTATATGTGTAAAAAGTGTATTTTTCCTGCCTGTGATAAATTACATTAACCAATTGTGTTGAGTAATTATATCACAGGCAGAGGGGAGGGATTGTATGTTGGGGCTGGGTGTGTTTTACGGTTTTCCTGTAAACGATTGGTTGTACTGTATCCCACCCTGTGGGATGTCCCCTTGCATGGGGACTTGCATAAAAGCCAGTGTGTGGTCATTAAAATCAGATCATCTTGTACCTTTATTGAAGCCGTGGCTCATGTTTGGGGGATTGGAGAACTACACTCTGGGGATTGCAATAATCACTATACTCCCCAGGGTATGATCACTAAGCTCTGCTAAGAGCTTGTTCCTGCGACGCTCTCTGGGGAAAGAGAGATTCACCCACTGGAAGCTGGATCCTGGCCTTGGGTCCAGGGTGGGTGGAGACGGCGAAACCCCGGCGCAGCTGCATCGCTGGAAGTGGGGTCTGCAGTGCTGATGGTGTCGGCTAGAGTGCTTGGAGTCCTCAGCGAGCACTAGGAGCATCAATTGGCGGAGGTACTCGGTCGGAGTGCCAGCGGTCCGTCACACTGTTATACTCGGGAGACTTCGCTGAACACAAATATTAGTGTTTCAAAACAGTAAAACATATCACAACAATTATATCGTCAGTGTAAGTGCCATTTGTGTGTGAAAAATGCAAAAAATGTCACTTTCACTGATAATATCGTCATTGTAATACATTTTACTGTTTTGAAACACTAATATTTGTGTTCAGTATAGTCTTCCGAGTAAAATGGTACCCTCCATGTACAGGTTTTATGGTGTCTTGGAAAGTTACAGGGTTAAATATAGTGCTAGCAAATTAAATTCCCTGTACTTTCGGCCTGGGTTGTTAGGCAGGTCCTGCAAATTGTAATTAATAAAATGACCTAATTATGTAAAATTATTACATAGATATATATGTAGAATTATTATATATATACTTGTGTGTGTATATATATATATATATATATATATATATATATAGTGAATAGTGATCAGCACTCTCGGGCTTTAGAAGGTTAAAACTTACAGTTTATTGAAAATCCATTAAAAGATCAACGTTTCAGTTCCTAGCTGGAACTTTCATCAGGATCAGGCATACATAACAAGTAAAAACAGTGCATTTATATACCTAAAGTATAAGTATGCACTTTCAACGCATACTAGTATCACTTCATATTAACATATTATTAGATCTTCCATCCTCAATATTTCTTTTTACAGGATGATTTGACTTGTAAAGTGAGATTTCGATTGAATTTAATAGGTTTTGTGATTTAGCAGGGTTGCTATAGCAACCGGATACACATGCAATTCACTACTAGTCACTTCCTGGCTTTATATCCCATGTGACTTTAGCGTTGCCGCGGCAACGCGTGACGTCATCACGGCACGTAGGGGCGTGGCCACGTCCGCGCCTGCGCACGGAATGATGGTAGATGCCAGGGGCTCCACACCCACCACTCAGAGCACAGGGGTAAGTCATTTTTGTCTAATTTCACTTATACTTTAGGTATATAAATGCACTGTTTTTACTTGGTATGTATGCCTGATCCTGATGAAAGTTCCAGACTGGAACTGAAACGTTGATCTTTTAATGGATTTTCAATAAACTGTAAGTTTTAACCTTCTAAAGCCCGAGAGTGCTGATCACTATTCACCATATGAATATTTTTCCTGGATTACAAGCACCCGGCCTACACCAGTCTACAAGCGTGAGTGCAAGGATACCCTGTATATTTATGTATATTTATATATATATATATATATATATATATATATATATATATATAAATAATGTCTCTCTGTGTCCTTGCACACACACTTTAAATTACAAAAATGCCGGGTGCACTTTAGCCAATGCCATGAATAAATATATAAATGTTGAAAAAAGGCTTGCACTCACGGTCTTTTTTTCTGTATTGATCCTGATGAAAGCCACGGATGCTGGCTGAAACGTCGTTCGTATTTTAAAGGAATGAAATAAAGGAACCTTTTAAAATAAAAAAAGACTGTGAGTGCAAGCCTTTTTTCAACATTTATATATATATATATATATGTATATAATTTTTTAAAATAATTTTTATTTATATATACGTATACATAGTGATATATACGTATATACTTATCTATATAGATATATATATATATTATTTCGTTCTACATGTATTTTGATATCAATATATATATATATATATATATTAATTTTAAAATACAGTTAGAACGAAATTACACATGTATATATATTTATTTATTTTTTATTTTTTTAATTTTATTTTTTTACATATTTACATATTTATTTATTTTATATTATATATAAATATATATATATAATGACAATTATATATATATTTAGTCAATATCATATATATTAATATTAAAATACACTTAGACAGTGTATGTGAATGTGTGTATATGTGTGTGTGTATATATATACTTAGATCATATATATAATAAAAATATATATATGATCTAAGTATATATTATTTAATTTTCAACAGTTTTAGTATGTTTTAATTTTTTTTACAGACAGCAGGGGGAGTACCGTCATTACAGGCACTCCCCCTGCTGGCAATGCCTTGGACAGCTATGCCATCCATGTGATTTGCCGGCAACCCGGTAAGTACATAGGACACTGGGGACGTTCTATGCCGCCCTGCGGCGTTTAGAGCCGCTTCCTTAAGGATGGCATAGAACGTCCCGCATCCTCAAGGGGTTAAATGTGATAGTGCTCACTTCTGTGTTATCAAAACTGTAGGAATGACAGCAGTTTAGAGAATGTGTTTCATCTAGCAGCCTCTGTGTTCCGGAACACTCTGCTGGCTGCTCACACACCTGGGATCCTATGGCAACTCACTCTACAGCAAGGGCAGAGAAGAGCGGTTAAAAACAAACTGCTCCAAATTGCTCACTTCACGGAGCGGTTTCCATCTTCAAACAGTCGTATATATATATATATTTTTTTTAAATTTGCTAAGATTAAACAAGGAATGGTAGTAGTAGGTGGGGGCTTTAATTGCACACCAGACGCAAAGATGGACAGAGTTTCAAGTATAAGATCAATGAAAAATAACATAAATATAAATGAGTCAATACAACTCAAAATTATAACTTTTTTGATCTATGGAGAATAGATCACCCAATAGAGAAAGACTGTACGTGTTATTCCAAGACGTACCACTCTTATTCAAGGATAGATCTTTTTCTTGGGTAATATAAATCTGACCAAACATATTAAAAGAATAGAAGTAAGGGAGACAACATGGTCAGACCATAATGCAGTAATAATAGAATTAAATAAGAATATAAAAAATGGTAAAAGAACAAATTGGCATCTAAATAAATATATATTAAATAATAAACAAAATATAAAATTAATAAAAGAAAAAATCAAAGACTATTTTATATACAATAACAATAATGAAGTCCCAGTTCCAATGATCTGGTGCACTTTTAAGTCTGTAATAAGACTTGACAAAGACCTCGTTAGGTCGAAACGTTGCTGTCTTTTTTGTTTTAATAAAATTGCCTGCGACTTTAACATCCTGAGTGCCTGGAGATATTTCTTCTATTGCTGTAATAAGAGACCATCTAATAAAAATTGGAGCACAAAATAAAAACAAAACAGCATTGCCTCTCTCGGAGTTATTTATATCTTTATATTAAACTAGCAGAAAAAACAAACAATTACCTACTATTGTTTTATCCCAAAAAATAGAAAACATAAAGAGTCAAATAAACAATATATTGAGAATACTAACAATTAGAAATATGGAATTCCTGAAAAACAAATGATACTATATATGTAATAAGGCTCATTAAATGTTAACAAATAAAGTTAAGGGGGAAAAAACTACAAACTATATTCACAAAATTATAACTGAAGAGGGTCCACAACTTACTCCTCAAAAAACAGGAGAAGCATTTCATTGCTTTTAGCAAAATCTATATAACTCTCCGACCATGAGAAACAACGTAGAAAATCCTCTAGAAATAAAAAGATGAAAACTGTAACAAAAGAAAAACTTAAAGAGCTAAATACCCCTTTTACAGAAAGAGAAATATCAACAGCTATTGATTTATTAAAAGATAAAACACCTGGCCCAGATTGCTTCCCAAATATATTTTAAAAAACATTCAAAGACGATATAATCAAGGAAATAACCAATGCATTCAATGAGATGGTAAAACAGAAGTCTCTACCAGAAGAAATGTCATGTGCAAACATTATTATTATTTGCATGCGATAAGAATAAATGAGTGTGGTAGCAAAGAGTGCTACAGTCCACCTGAGTTGGAATCCTTTATAGCACTCTAAGAAATACAAAAATAAAATACATACAATAGGTGTATCACACATCTTGATGCATCTAAAAAAAGACACAAAATAATATAGTGCAATATTACCAATATATATAATATATAGAGGGTCTGGAGATTAAGTGCACACAAGCCTGGAGCCAAATAAAAACATATGGCTCACATGGGTGGTGCAGTGGGACTTTTCAAAAGTATGTCCCTGTCCTTCTTCCAGATGTTATTGTAGCTTTCTCAGGATAAGTAGAATGGAGTTGAGCTGTACAAGCAGGGTATTCTTCAAAGAGAACTTTATTAATCCAAGTAGGAAATAAAAGGTGTACCAGATATAGTAAAAACCAATAAAATCGGTATAGGACTTTACTTGGACTGATTGAGTCCTATTGTCATTTTATTCATTTATACCGATTTTATTGGTTTTTACTATATCTGGTACACCTTTAATTTCATTTTATTCCCTACTTGGATTAGTGAAGTAATTTTTGAAGAATACCCTGCTTGTACAGCTCAACTCCATTCTATTTATCCTGAGAAATAAAAATGGAAGAAGGACGGGGACATCCTTTTGAAAAGTCCCACTGCACCACCCATGTGTAGCGGTACTTACCCTCTCCAGGGGCCGGGCGAGGTCCTCTTTCCCCCGCAGCGCGCAGTCCTACAACTGCACGTGGCTCGGCCACATGACTCGCCTGACACTGGGAGCGCTCCGCACTTATCAGGCGTGCTTTTAAAGCGACAGTGGGAGCTGAAAATCAAAAAGGTCTCCCATTGGCCCATGTCATTCCACATTCCCCATACACTCACGTTTTGGGGGCGTGGATATGACAGGGGCCAATCAAATTAATCTATAAGGTATTTATACTCACCTTTCCCTTAGCTCCCTGCCCTATCGTGGTTTCTGTTTCAGTTCCCTTTAGTGCTTGCTTCATGTAGTAGTGCTTTTTTCGTGCTTGACCTTGGATTTGTTCCTGACTCCGTTTTTCTCTTTATCCCTGCTTTGTCTTGTTCGCCGGTTTCCTGACTCCTGTGTACCAGTCCTTGGCTAGTTCTTGTTTTCGCTGTCTCTCTGTTCCCTTGACCATGGCTCATTCTTGACTCTGTCTTTTCCCTGTTTACGTCGAGTCCGGCCATTCTAAAGCCCGGTAAGACATATCTTGCTATCTTGTCTCTCATTGGACTAAATCTTGCTTGTTGGGGTATACTACCGTGACACCATGAGAGCCATTATTTGGCTCCAGGCTTGTGAGTACTTAATCTCCAGACCATCTTTATATTATATATATTGGCAATATTGCACTATATTATTTTGTGTCTTTTTTAGATGCATCAAGACGTGTGATCCACCTGTTGTATGTATTGTATTATTCCTATTTTAAAACCAGAAAAAAAAAAAGTTGTAATAAATTATCGACTAATATCATTAATGAATTCAGATACAAAGATCTATGCATCCATTTTGGCCAGTAGAAAAAAAAATAATAGAAAATCTGATTCACAAAGATCAGACAGGGTTCATTAAAGGAAGATCATCTTCTAACAATATTAGAAGAATGATCAACATCTTAGAAAATGTGGAAAAAACTGGAGTCCCATTTCTGGCCCTGTCACAGGGCCAGATGGGACTTCCTCAAAACCGTCTGCATTAAATGCGGTCTAAAAGGGTGGATATTTGATGCAACTTGGGCTTTGTATATGAATCCTAAAGCAAGAACGATTGGAGGGGGGATATCCTCAGACTGGTTCACAATCTCAAACGGGACTAGAAAGGGATGCCCCCTCTTCCCATTACAATACATATTATCTATAAAAGTATTGGCCAACGATATTAGAGGTAATGTTAAAATCAAAGGATTTCAAATAAATAACAAGGAATATAAAATATCGCTATTCGCGGATGACGTGATTATCACGTTAGAAAACCAAATTATATATCTTGAGGAACTAATGAAAGTAATAAAGAGCTATACTATACACTCAAATTCGGGATTATTCTAACTCGTAGTGACCGAATAATCTAAATTTTATTAAAGACAGGAGGCGAATATTTGCTTATTTACTCCCAGCAGCAAAGAAACAGTTAACAGCAGTGTAAAAAGTTTAACCAATCAGCAAGCATCACAGTAATATAAACTGCCATCAGGCTCCTCCCAATTCCTCTTTCTTGATGTAGTCGAACAGCCGTAGAGTCAACCATGTAAACGTAGAACCATTAGAACGATGAGTAGGTAACGGTGTAGGTATCCGATAGGATGAAGACAGTGTTCAACCCGCAGGGAGATTTGAGACAAAAGACAAGTGATCTTCACACTAGGAGGAAAGAGAAACATCGTGAAAGTATGGTCTCTTTGGCAAGAGAAAATCAAATTAAATGCTGTGAAACTGGCTTCCAATTTAAGTGTAAGCTCTAACCCAGGGGTAGGCAACCTACGGCACTAGTGCCATGCATGGCACTTGAGGTGCCTTTGCACGGCACTCAAGGCCGCTAGAGCCAAACAGGCTCTGGCCTATCAGGAGTTCCAGTAAAACTTCAGATATCTGCTAATACAAAGAGGTGGTGAAGGACAATCCTCAATTTATGCATTGCAGCATGTAGAGGAAGTGATCTCAGAGCACTTCATTCCAGCACTTGTGAATGGGCATCCACACTGCAGTAGAGCAGCTCGCAGTTGTTGTTGCAGCTCCGGTCCTTGACCTGTACCTGGCCAACATGGTCCTTACTGGAACCCAGGGAAGCCACACACACTGCTAGATATACACAGAAATGCAGAAAGACCCTCCCCTCATACAAATAATACGGACAGCCCACACACAAACATACACACAATCAGCACAAACATACACACAATCCGCACAAATGCAACACCACTAACAATCCACATACATGCACACAACCCCACATGCAGCCTCTCACATGCAATACCCCAAACAGCCCCCACACACATACACACACTACTAAAACACACAATGTGACATATCCATCCACACACACACACAATTCCCCAAGCTGCCCCCATACACATTCATATGTACCATACACGATACCACAATCTACTCATGAACATATATATATTATAATAGCTCATATATGCACAAATACAACGATACAAAGCAATTACAGTATAAATAACACAAGCAGAATACGGCAGCATACACACCTCAATTTAAAAAAAAACAAAATGGGGCCGGCACACTACGGGACATCACAATCCTATATCGGCACAGTGCTGCTAAAAGGTTGCCTACCCCTGCTCTAACCTATGATAATTAACTGTGTGGTATATAGAGCGAGTGACACACATAGAATATAATAAAACTAATGTACAATTTGAGAGCGGGTTTAGCATATAATAATGAATTAATGAGTATAGGCTAGAGAAAGGAGAGGATGCTAGTGACTTAGTTAGATCTGGAGATAGTACGAGATACTTACCTAGAAGGGTGGGTAAAGATATTCCAGGGTGGGAAAATATTCGCCTCCTGTCTTTAATAAAATTTAGATTATTCGGTCACTATGAGTTAGAATAATCCCGAATTTTATGGCAAGACAGGAGGCTTCATATTTGCTATTTTAACACATAGATAGCATGGACAGAGAAGCGTGTGGAGAATGTCTAAAATAAAAGGTACGGAAGGTGGATTCTCTAGACCAATCAGTGGAGGATAGAATCTCCGCTAGGGAACCTCCAGCTATGAGTGCAGAGGAGGCGGCTGCGCCTCTAACCGAGTGAGCTCCGAAAGACACATCAATGCCAGCCAGGGCTAGTAGCCATTTAATCCAATGTGCAATGGTAGGGCACGAGACTGGTTTGTGTGGTCGCACATAAGATACCAGGAGGGGCCCAGTAGGTGCCCTGAGAGGGGTAGTGCAAGAGATATAGTGTCTTATACACCGGGCTATGCAAAGGAGGTGTTTCTCCGAAAAATAGGTGTAGCTCACCGTAGATGAGTTGGTCTTGGTGCGTCTAGTGATGTGAAAGTGCAACCCTTCCGGTGTGAAATCGAGGGCATGAAAGTTGAAAGCCCTGATGTCGGAAACTCTTCGGAAGGAGACTAAGCAAAGGAGGAGAGCTAATTTGGCTGACAATTGGCGTAGGGAGAGCGCCTCGTTGTCCGGCCAAGCTTCTAAGAACGTGAGCAAGATGGCCACGTCCCAGAATTGATTATATTTGGGAGTCGGGGGTCTAGCGATGCGGATGCCCCGCAAGAGTCTACACATAGAAGGGTGTTTGCCTACTGAAGAACTTTCGATAGGAACGTGCGCTGCAGAAATAGCAGACCGAAACACGTTAATAGTCCGGTAGGATTTACCCTGGTCGAACAGAGATGACAGGAAATTGATAATATTAATTATAGATGTTGAAAAGGGATCAAAGTTCCTTTCCAAACACCAGCAACTCCAGAGACGCCATGCAGAGATGTAAGAGCGTCTGGTTCCAGGGGCCCATGAATCCCAAAGGAGTCCCTGAGCAGTTGTCGAAAGGCCTGAGACATTCCAAGATCCCCTGAAACAGTCCAAACCATTAGTTGGAGATGATCCTGGATTGCCAATGGGTGAAAGTTGCCTGCCGGGTCCCTGAGGAGATCGCAGGCGGTGGGTAGCAGCAGGGGAAAGTCCACTGACATTTCCAGGAGGTAAGGATACCATGGTTGGGCCCGCCATAGCGGGGTCACTAGTGTTATCTTGACACCTTGAGTTTTGAGGTACTGTAGTGTGCGTGGAATCATGGAGAATGGAGGGAACGCATATGCCCTGGACATCGGCCACATCTGTAAGAAGGCATCGACTGCAAGGTACGCTGGGTCCGGCAACCAGCTGTAAAATGCGTCCGTCTTCCTGTTGAGGCGAGATGCAAAGAGGTCCGGGTTGAATGGCCCCCGCCAGATCTGGAGATGGTGAAATATCTGTGGATTCAGTTGCCAATCGCTGGAGTCCCTCCAATGTCGGGAGAACCAGTCTGCGACAAGGTTGTCTGATCCCGGTAGATATTCCGCCCGTAGGGAGATATTCCTGTCTAGGCAGAACTGATATAATTCTTTGGTCAGGTCTGAGAGCATCTTCGATTTGGAACCTCCTAGATGATTCACGTAACGAACCGCTGACACATTGTCCATCTTCAGCACCACGGAACAATTGTAGACATCCTTGGCGAAACTGCAGATTGCGAAGGAGCCTGCAATCAGTTCGAGGCAATTGATATGAAGTGCTCGTTCCGAGTGGGAACAGAGTCTTCCTGTAGAGCTTTCCGAGCAAGTTGCGCCCCATCCGAGCAGACTTGCATCCGATTCCATAATGAAGTCGGGTTGGGATCCGAAAATGGCTCTTCCATTCCAAGCGTCCATGTGGTGTAGCACCAATGGAGTTCGAGCCGGACTTCGTCTGTGAGTGTGATCTGTTGTTCGTAAGACATCGACTGATGTAAATATTGGGTCTTCAGGCATTGCAATGCCCGGTAGTGCAGTGGGGCAGGGAATATAGCCTGTATTGAGGCGGAGAGCAAGGCGATGATGCGGGCTAGATCTCGCAGGCAGAGGTATGGTGATATCAGTAACTTCCGAATGTCTTTTTTTATGGATTTGATTTTGGATGCCGGAAGTTGAAGGACTGCCTGAACAGAGTCTATCTTGAATCCCAGGAATTGTATCGCCTGGGACGGTGTGAGAGATGATTTCTGGTGATTGATCACGAAGCCAAGGTTCTGCAACAGAGCGGAGGTCATGCTTGTATGAAGGTGAAGAGTTTCTTGGTCCTGTGCCATGAGGAGGATATCGTCCAGATAAATTATGGAACGGATTCCTTGGGAGTGCAGTTATGCCATCACTGGTTTCATTAGTTTGGTAAAGCACCAGGGTGCAGAAGATAGGCCGAAGGAGAGGCAGGTGAACCACCATAGTGCTTGTTCCCAACGAAACTGAAGGAGGCAGCGGTGGGCTGGTGTTACCGGCACAGTGAGTTATGCATCCTTTAGATCGAAGCGGGAAAACCAATCTCCCTCGGAGAGTAGGTCTCTCAATAAATGGATCCCCTCCATTTTGAAGTGATGGTATGTGATGAACCTGTTCAGATCTCTCAGATTGATGACAGGTTGTAGATCTCCTGATTTTTTTTCTTGACTAGAAACATGTTGCTTATGAAGATCTGTGGGCCAACAACTCTTTCGATCGCACCTTTGGTGAATAGATCGTTGAGTTCGCTCTGTAGAGTCGACTCGTCTAACAATGACATCTTGATCGGGGTAGGAGGAGAATTTTGTATTGGTTCGCCTGAAAAGTCCAGGTGGAACCCGGACACCGTCTGAAGAATCCAAGGATCCCGGGTGAGTTGAGACCACTGTTGGGAAAAAAGGGTTAACCGGCCTGCAATAGGAATATGAGAATAAGGAAGGTCCATTACCTGTAGCAGTGCGACCGCGGAGGGAAGCGGATCCACGTCCTCGGATAGCTCCGCGAGAGGGGAAAAATTGCCTGTGGGGGAATCGGGTATTGCCCGTGAAGGCGGCTCTGCCAGTCGCTCAGCCTCTATAGCGACCAGCTCTCCCGGAAAAACGCTGAGTGCGAAACACCTTGCGAATGGAGGATTGTGCTTTTGTCAGCGTAGTAAATATAGAGACGTGTTTACTTAGATCTTTTATGAACTTATTTTCAAATAACATGCCTTGAGCCTCTGGACCAAGTTCTTTAGTGCCCAGTTCGGCAAGCTTGGCATCGATTTTATAAAGGACAGCCTTCCGCCGTTCTGTTGATATCGCCACATTGGCATTGCCTAAAAGGCATAAGGCCCTTTGTGCCCATTCTCGCACCATATGTGCGTCAAACATGCCACCTGATAAAGCCTCGTCTGCTATAATGAAGAATTGTATGAGCGGGCCCGCCACATCCATCATCTTATCTTGAGTGGCTTGCAGACCCAGTTCTAGACCCTTACGGGGGTCTTTCCCCTATTTGGTCAGAAAGGTAACAAGGAAGGGGTCAAATTCAGGTGTATGTTTTTTGGACTAAGATCCATATAATTACTTATTTCAAACACTTTTATGTTTTATGTATTTTTTGGGGTTATTGTCATTTGAATTCTAATAACAAAAAATAAGAAAATAATGGGTTAAAATACGTCCATATTACAATTATTTGAAATATTAGATATATGTGTAACTCCATTTAATATTGGAGATTTTTATAGGAACATTATAAGATTTATTTATTATTATTTCTATATTAGCACTTTGGCACTAATTATATATTAATAATTAATGAGTATTAATATATACCACATAGTTTAATTGTGTATATTACACTTTAAATATTACAAAAAGAAAGAGAAGAAGGAAAGAAAAACAATTTTGGTGATTGGATTATATGTAACCAAAAAATATGTATGTTTGTACATTTCTCATTTTATAAATACTTTTTTCTCACTGTTTGATTATAGCAATTAAATAATGGTGATTTGTTATAAGCTTAATTATATAAAAAATATGCAAATGATGAAGTTACTAATACCATTTTTCTCTAGTAGATTGAATATATTGCTCTTTATTGAATTTTGTGATCATATAATAATGTTGAAGTGGAACAAAGGTGTAACGCATATGAGCCGCAGGTGGAACGCATGTGGAACGCGAGTGGAACGCGGAAGTGTGGTACAATCTGAATGCGCCAATTTTGATTACAGCAATGCGAGAAGGATGGGAAACAGCTGAACAGCTCCCCCACGGAACCAATCAAGTGACGGATACTGGACACCACCAACGGAACCACCAATGGACATAGGGATTAGCCCTATTTAAAGAGGACTTGGGAATGGGGGGAATAGGAGATTTTTTTTATATGTTATGATTGTATATTGATTTTATTTTATATACGGTCCCTGATGAAGTTCTTTACAGAACAAAACGCGTAGGACCATACCGTTTTCCTTTTAATTATATTTTATATTGATGGTGACTATTCACCTTTTATCAATAAAATCCTTTTTTCCTACCATTGCCCGTCTGGAGTCCTGAGCATTATTAAGGATTTTCAAAAGGAGCCAGGGGATTACTAGCCCCCCATCTCAATCGGGGGAGGCACCCTATGAGCGATATATTCTACACAATCCTGTGAGTGCATCTATATACAACGCATAAAAGTGTGTTAATTGTACTTCACTATTTTGTATATTTTTATGTTCTTTTCAGATTTACTTTCAGCCGTATCCCGAAGTTTTGTGTTGTTTGTGGTTATCTATATATGAAAAGGTCGTCTTTTTTGGGTAACGATCTTGGGAGGCTGCACTATAATATTTAAGTTAAGTATTTGTATATATTTCACTACGGTTACTATCTATAGTAGTGTTTATATTGTTTTGTACTATTTGCTTTTACCCATTTTCTTCTTACACATATATCTATTATTAATTGATAAGGTATGGCCACTAATGTCAGTTTCTTATCGAATTTACAACTAATCGAAAAAAGACATTTGAGGCCATGTTTCAGGAGTGGGATAAACCACAACCTTTTAAGGGGCTGGATGAATTTTTTAAAAAGAAAGAAAGGTTACTAGCCGCTGAAACAAAAAAATGGTGGGAGGTAGCCTACTTGGAGAATTACCTCAAGGCCTTGTCCCTAGGGGTTTGAGGATAGATAAAACTCCAGCATTTGGATTGGAGAACGATCTCTTTTTACAAGAGTGGGATGAAATTCTTATGAATTGTTCGTTTCAATTAATTCAACTTATTATTAAATATTCGAAAGATATGCAAAATAAATTAGAGTCAGAATTAATTGATTTGGATACAAATCCCCCCTTAGAGTTTGAAAGCAAAGAATTCAGAGAGAGAGAGAGGATGTCCTTCAAAACAATATAAAGAAATTAGATGAAAAAATTACCGAAACCAAAAATAAGAAGTATAGTAGAGATAGGGATGACAAGTTGTTAGAAACTTTTTCAATGCGAAATAAAATACGCAGAAGGAGACTACGCACTCCGCCATATAATAATAATAAAAGAAATAACCAACGACCTTTCTTTAATAGAACAAGAATTAATTCCCAATCTAGGGCCATACAAAAAAAACATTCTAGATTTCAGTATGATCGATCAAATGACCACCAAGAGACATTTAATAGAGAACCAACCCCTTCTCATTCATTTAGGAACAAATCTCCCGAGAGGACTTACAATTTAAAGACATATGCTCGAGCTACAAGAGATAAAACAGAGACTCGGGGAAACAATACACAATACAATGATCGAGAAATACATTTTCAGGGGAGACCCCGGGGCCCAAAGGAAAAAACAATTACCAATTATTTCCACCCAAGGATGGAAACTTGGGAACATCCCAACAGATTTGCTCCTCTGTATCAGAACTCACCCACGAAAAGGGTGAGAACAGAGGATTAGTTCAATTACCACAGGTCACCTACTCATTGGAACAAAGGGAAATAGAAAATGGTATTTTTAATTTAACAAAGACTCCCTTGACAGATGAAGAGATTGGTCTATTATCTAAGGGAATTAAGTTTGCTCCCAGTAAAACCTCTAATGATTTCAATCTCTTTATAGATTTAAAAAAATGTATCCGTTCATTGACTATCAAGAGACATTTCCTTTTAAATCCATCACCTTCAGATGATACTCTAAACATTTCAACAACCCCTTCTAACTATAAATTCCAACCGAAATCACATTTTTTTCCTATACAAAGTAAGGGCCCATTTTTAGAAACATTTGAACATATGGTGAATCAAACGTTTCAGTCTTTCAATATAAAGGATAAGAAAAGACCACAAACTTCTAACCTTACAAGGAGAGAAGAAAAAATTCAAAAAAATCTAATGGAACACGATGATTTAATAATTAGGGAGGAGGATAAAGGAGGCGGCATAGTTCTGATGACCACCTCCTATTATCTAGAAGAATCTGCTAACATCTTGGGGGATAAAAAAACCTATACTACTCTTTCCAATGACCCCAAGTTCCGCTTCAATTTGGAGCTTGGAACTTTATTGGATAAAGCATATAATAATGGGATTATTTCTCAAAAATTTTTGTTTTTTTATTTCAGAAGAAACCTGTTACACCAATTTTCTATTTTCTCCCTAAAACACACAAACACCTCCCCAACCCACCAGGACGCCCCATTATTAGCGGTGTACATTCATTAACAGCCAATTTATCCGCTTATGTTGATTCATTTTTACAAAAATACGCACAGGGAGCACCTTCTTATGTGCGAGATACCAAATCTTTTTTACAAGAGTTGGAATGTATCGAATGGAAGCTGGAATACAGTTGGGCCACACTAGATGTGACCTCTCTGTATACCGTGATTAGCCATCATTTAGGGTTGGAGTCAGTTGATTATTATATGTCTGGAGACAGCACACTGTCTGTAGGTCATAGGGAGTTTATTTTATCTTCAGTTCAATTTATTTTGGATCACAATTATTTTTTCTTTAATGGTGATTATTATTTACAAATCACTGGGACCGCCATGGGTACCAGGTTCGCCCCCAGCTATGCCAACACTTACATGAGAAGATGGGAAGAACTCTTCGTGTGGTCTGGGCATGGCTGGAGGGAGAACCTGGTCCTATGGTGGCGATATATTGACGATGTTATTATTAGTTGGAAGGGGTCTTCGGTTGTTTTTCAGGATTTTGTTCGATATCTCAATTGTAATCAGTATAATTTGGTTTTCACCCCAGAATGGAATAAACATGAAATCCATTTTTTGGACCTTGTTCTCTTTTGTGACCAAGACCAAATACAAACCAGGTGTTTTTTCAAACCCACAGATGGTAACGGCTTTGTACATCAACAAAGCTGTCACCATAAACCATGGTTACGGGGTATAGCTAGGAGCCAGTTTACACGTGTTAGATGGAACTGTTCCAATCTTCAGGACTTTAAGGCTCAATCATCACACATCAAAAAAAAGCTTATTGATAGAGGCTATAATAAAAATTCATTGGATAAAGAAATCCGTTCCATTAGTTTGTTGCATCGCAACTCATTATTGGAGGATAAAGGTAGTGTAAATGAAAATAATATAAACTTTAAATCATCCTTTATAACCCAATATAATACTGATCATCATAAAATTTAAAAGAGCCTACAAGAATTCTGGCCCATCTTGCTTCAGGACCCAGTTCTAGGAAGGTCTTTATCAGACCGCCCTATGGTGATCTATAAAAAGAATAAGAATCTTAAGAATCTACTGGCTCCTAGCTATGCTATCAAACACCCTAACACCAACATTTCTCCAGCCTTTGGTTCTTTTAGAGGCTGTGGAACTTGTAAAGCCTGTACTACTACATCGTTGTTAAGAACTAAGGATTTTTGTAGTAACACCACAGGGGAAATTTTCAAAGTGAAATCTGAGATTAGCTGCCACACGGACTATGTAGTTTATTTACTGCAATGTCCGTGTGGCAAACAGTATGTGGGACGCACAAAAAGGATTTTAAAGGTCAGAATACTTGAACATTTAAACAATATTAGGAAAAAAAACATAACCCATTCAGTTTTGGCTCACTGTTCTAATTGTCCTTCTTTCTCCCTTAGGGAATTTAAGTTTATGGGTATTGAAAGAGTTTTTCCATTCTGGCGAGGGGGTGATAGGGTTAAGAAATTATCCCAGAGGGAAACCTTCTGGATACGTACGTTAAGTACCTTAGAACCAAAGGGTCTTAATATAGGCATCGACTTGGTCTGTTTTTTGGACTAAGATCCATATAATTACTTATTTCAAACACTTTTATGTTTTATGTATTTTTTTGGGTTATTGTCATTTGAATTCTAATAACAAAAAATAAGAAAATAATGGGTTAAAATACGTCCATATTACAATTATTTGAAATATTAGATATATGTGTAACTCCCTTTAATATTGGAGATTTTTATAGGAACATTATAAGATTTATTTATTTATTATTATTTCTATATTAGCACTTTGGCACTAATTATATATTAATAATTAATGAGTATTAATATATACCACATAGTTTAATTGTGTATATTACACTTTAAATATTACAAAAAGAAAGAGAAGAAGGAAAGAAAAACAATTTTGGTGATTGGATTATATGTAACCAAAAAATATGTATGTTTGTACATTTCTCATTTTATAAATACTTTTTTCTCACTGTTTGATTATAGCAATTAAATAATGGTGATTTGTTATAAGCTTAATTATATAAAAAATATGCAAATGATGAAGTTACTAATACCATTTTTCTCTAGTAGATTGAATATATTGCTCTTTATTGAATTTTGTGATCATATAATAATGTTGAAGTGGAACAAAGGTGTAACGCATATGAGCCGCAGGTGGAACGCATGTGGAACGCGAGTGGAACGCGGACGTGTGGTACAACCCATACTTCCGGTTCCGGTTATCCGAATGCGCCAATTTTGATTACAGCAATGCGAGAAGGATGGGAAACAGCTGAACAGCTCCCCCATGGAACCAATCAAGTGACGGATACTGGACACCACCAACGGAACCACCAATGGCCATAGGGATTAGCCCTATTTAAAGAGGACTTGGGAATGGGGGGAATAGGAGATTATTTTTATATGTTATGATTGTATATTGATTTTATTTTATATACGGTCCCTGATGAAGTTCTTTACAGAACGAAACGCGTAGGACCATACCGTTTTTCCTTTTAATTATATTTTATATTGATGGTGACTATTCACCTTTTATCAATAAAATCCTTTTTTCCTACCATTGCCCGTCTGGAGTCCTGAGCATTATTAAGGATTTTCAAAAGGAGCCAGGCGATTACTAGCCCCCCATCTCAATCGGGGGAGGCACCCTATGAACGATATATTCTACACAATCCTGTGAGTGCATCTATATACAGCGCATAAAAGTGTGTTAATTGTACTTCACTATTTTGTATATTTTTATGTTCTTTTCAGATTTACTTTCAGCCGTATCCCGAAGTTTTGTGTTGTTTGTGGTATTGGCCACCTTGTCTGGGATAGTGGGGCGTGGGCATTCTGCCCTCAGTTTGGCTCTCACCTCTTTTTCTAAAAGCCAACGGAGCCAAATCTACTGTATTTGGCAATGTGGTCCGGGGTGTCCATTCGGCAGATCTAGGGTGCCTGATGCATCTGGGGTCTAATAAAGGACGGCCAGAGGTGTCAAATAAGGTATCCTCTTTTAAGTTAGGGTTTTCAGAGGTGAGATTAGACTCCAAGTGGAATTCCTCTAGAGGTATAAGTGAGGGCTCATTAATTGCAGAATCAGAAGGGTAAAGGTCTCGGGATGTCTTATGAATTGGAGCATCATTAACCGAGTGTTCTGCGTAGTATTCGTCTACCACTTGGAGATTATAATTAGGTTGAACCCTCAAATGGGTCAAAATCATGTTGGGAGATGGCCTGCTTGGGTTTAGAATAGGAAACTTTAGGGTGTTTGGCAGATGCTTTGCCTTTACCGGCGGTAGCGCTATCGCCCTTCCAAGGGCGTTTGCGAGGGGCTTCATCACGTTCTGAACCATGAGAATCCTTGGAGTCTGAGAGTTGGGTAATGGTCGCCATAGGGGCTGGGACTGTCTCTTTGCGGAAAGCCGCTAAAGCTTTGGGTATGGACTCAGTAATGGCATTGAATAGCCAGGCCTTAAGTTCAGCAGAAACTGCTGGTTCTGGCAAATCCGACATAATGTCAGTAACAGTGGGGTCACCACTATAGTATATAATTTATTTATATTTACAATTTATATATTTTTTTTTTATATTTTTTTTTTTGTATTTTTTTTTTTTTTTGTATATGCAGACAAACTATTTACAATGAGGCAGTGAACTTAGATGGTGTGTAAAATGCAGGAGAACAATTATCCTGTAAAAGTGGAGTTCGTCCACAGTTTATCAGTGGGGTTCACCCAGAGAGAAAAGGACAATAAAATGTCCAAGGTCAAATAACAGGTATGTACCTGTGTAATCATATAGGGATTACCCTGTACAGAGGCAGCAAAGGGGGTCACCCTTAGAGAAGAGGCTAGAGGGGATCACCCTCAGAATAAAGGCTAGAGGGGGTCACCCTCAAAATCAAGCAAGGGTTTTGAGTAAACTTGTTGTAGTAATTGTTGGGATCTGTGAAAGAAAAAAAACTGATATTTTGAATATGGGTGTATATCTTTAATTAAACTAACTATTCTGGGGCTTTAAGAAGGGAAAAATATACTTACCAAACAGCTAGGTCGCGTTTGCAGTTTAGAGCCGAAACGCAAGTAAACCTCCGCACATAAAGCTACCACAAGATGGCGCTGAGACAAAAGCCAGGGAAAAGTTCATAGAAATGGCCGCGGCATAAAAGAAAGGGCGGGACGCGTCGTTATGGAGATGCCAGGGCAACACAAATTGTGCCGTGGCGAAAGTGTCAGTGCCTTTAGAGAATTTAAACTGACAGTACAATATAATTAAAGAGAAGAAAAGTGAAGTAATGTGAAGTAAACTGAAGTTGTGGGCTGACTAGAATGTCAGCCCATGTAACATAAGTTAATAAAAGCAAAATTGCACATAAATAGAATAGAAGAAACAGTGAAACAGTATGAAATATATTTAAATGATATACAATATATAATAGTCAGCTAAAATTGAGAATTAATAGGAGTATAATTAGAATAGACTCACCTGGGAGGCTAAGCAGCAAAGAAGGAGGAATTGGGAGGAGTTTGATGGCAGTTTATATTACTGTAATGCATGCTGATTGGTTAAACTTTTTACACTGCTGTTAACTGTTTCTTTGCTGCTGAGAGTTACAGTAAAGAAAGATAAGCAAATATAAAGCCTCCTGTCTTGCCATAAAATTAGAGAAATCATTGATAATAGATAAAAACATTAACCCTGTAATGAAAAAAGTAATAAAAAGTTTACATGATTTCAAATGGATAAAAAAGGAAATTACATACTTGGGGATAAAATTAACAAAAAATCCAAAGACTATAATAGAGACTAATGTCTTACCATTAATAAAACAAATGAATAGAAAACTTAAAAAACTCAGAAATGTAGAAATATCATGGTTTGGAAGGACCAATATTATTAGAGCATTTTTACTTCCAAAATGGCTACACATTTTCCGCATGATTCTATAAAAAATACAGACAGCATGATTAACAATGATTCAATCATCTTTTAATAAATATATATAGAAAGCAAAACAACTTGCTGAAAACATTATCTTTAAAATATAAAGATGGAAGACTAGGTTTCCCAAATATCTTTCAAATAAATGAAGCTTGTAAGATAAGCCACATTATTAATACTCTAAGAATCTTGGTACCAAATTGAAGTGAACAGTATCAAAACAGGCAATATAAAAAAAAAAATATGGAAATTAGATTGAAAACAGATAAAAAAAATAAAATAAAATGGTCTATGGTGATCAAAGATCTATATTCCTTGTGGAAGAATTTTAAAGTCAAATTAAAGGACCACTATAGTGCCAGGAAAACATCCTCGTTTTCCTGGCACTATAGTGCCCTGAGGGTGCCCCCACCCTCAGGGTCCCCCTCCCGCTGGGCTGGATGGAGAGCAAGGGCATAAACTTACCTCATACTTGTAGCGGTACTTACCTTATCCGGGGGCCGGCGAGGTCCTCTATTCCCGCCGTGGACGGTCCTACACGAGCAGGGTTAATGTTTTATAATAGATAAAAACATTAACGATGTAATGAAAAAAGTAATAAAAAGTTTACATGATTTCAAATGGATAAAAAAGGAAATTACATACTTGGGGATAAAATTAACAAAAAATCCAAAGACTATAATAGAGACTAATGTCTTACCATTAATAAAACAAATGAATAGAAAACTTAAAAAACTCAGAAATGTAGAAATATCATGGTTTGGAAGGACCAATATTATTAGAGCATTTTTACTTCCAAAATGGCTACACATTTTCCGCATGATTCTATAAAAAATACAGACAGCATGATTAACAATGATTCAATCATCTTTTAATAAATATATATAGAAAGCAAAACAACTTGCTGAAAACATTATCTTTAAAATATAAAGATGGAAGACTAGGTTTCCCAAATATCTTTCAAATAAATGAAGCTTGTAAGATAAGCCACATTATTAATACTCTAAGAATCTTGGTACCAAATTGAAGTGAACAGTATCAAAACAGGCAATATAAAAAAAAAAATATGGAAATTAGATTGAAAACAGATAAAAAAAATAAAATAAAATGGTCTATGGTGATCAAAGATCTATATTCCTTGTGGAAGAATTTTAAAGTCAAATTAAAGGACCACTATAGTGCCAGGAAAACATCCTCGTTTTCCTGGCACTATAGTGCCCTGAGGGTGCCCCCACCCTCAGGGTCCCCCTCCCACTGGGCTGGATGGAGAGCAAGGGCATAAACTTACCTCATTCTTGTAGCGGTACTTACCTTATCCGGGGGCCGGCGAGGTCCTCTATTCAGACAAAGGCGGGCACTGACCGCGGTCACGTGTCCCACCTAGTTCTAAGAGTGCGCCGCACATCTCGGGCACGCTCTTAAAGGGACAGTGGGAGCCGAAATGTAAAACGGTCTCCCATTGGCCCCTGGCATCCCACATTCCCCATACACTCACATTTTTGGGGTGTGGATATGACAAGGGCCAATCAAATTAAATACTAGGGTATTTATACTTACCTCTCCCTTAACTCCCTGCCCTATCGTGGTTTCTTTTTCAGTTCCCTTTAGCGCTTGTTGTGTTCAGTTGTGATTTTTCATGCTTGACCTTGGCTTTGTATCTGACTCCGTTTTTCTCTTTATCCCTGTTTTGTCTTGTTTGCCAGCTTACTGATTCCTGTGTACCAGACCTTGGCTAGTTCTTGTTTTCGCTGTCTCTTTGTCCCCTTGACCTCGGCTCGTTCCTGACTCTGTCTATTCTCTGTTCTACATCGAGTCCGGCCATTCTAAGGTCCGGTAAGACGTATTTGCTTTATATTGTCAATTGTTGGACTAAATCTTGCGTGTTGGGGTAAACTACCGTGACATTATAGTATATAAAAAATTTGTTAAGGAACAAAGTATAATTATGGTGCTACTATCACCTAGTGTGAACCACTCCAACACACCAAATGTCAATAAAGTGCAAAATATAAAATGGTGGTGAGAGCACTCAAATCATGCAAATACAATATTTTACCAGAACTTTGTTTGTTGGAATATCTAAAAAAACATAAAACACAGAAACATAGTATAATACTGTTTAAAATATGTGCAAAATGTTGTATGTGACTGGTTAAACTCACATATTTCTGAGTCACTTTAAAAGCTGACTCAGACTTAGGGCTTGTATGGAGATGAGAAATCTCTATTCTGGACGTCCTGTATCACACCTTGTGGATCCGCGCTGATAGTATCCTCTAAAATTACTCCAGGATGCAGAAATCGAATCCAAATTGATTTATTATTAAAATACTTCACAAAATTAAAAATTAATAGTAAATACAGGTAAAATGTCCTTTGTGTATACCACAACGCGTTTCGGCACTCACAGCCTTTCTCAAGTGGTCTGTTTCTCATCTCTCTATTTGCTCCTTTATACCTTCAAATTTCAGCGCCCTTTCTCCGGCGTCCTGTGTGCCTTCCGTTTTCGTCATCACTCTGCGACTTCCGGTTACGTTACGTGATGACGTTTTTGCTTACATCATCTTTCCTTAGCCAAACGGCTACGTCATGACGTCTTCCTGGCGCCGAACCCGGAAGCACTAACCGCGCCATTTTAGAAAGTCTTTCGACATGAAAAATTTGCCAGTCTTTTATCCATTTCCAAATACTTAATATATACATCTATATACGAGGAAAACCCACATTAACAGACAATTTATCAACAAAATGCATAAAATAGTCATAAGAAGAGGTATTATTGTCCTAAAAAAGGGGAAAAAATATATATCATTGAAAAAGAAGAACGGGGGGAAAAACATTTTTAACGTATAGATTAAATTTAAAATAATATAATATATAAAATAGTTTTAAAAAAGTCATTTAAAACACTTAATACTATATACATGAATTAATCTCAAAATCTATGTTTAAACCATAGGGGGACAGTGATTCCATATTAAAAATCCACTTCATCTCTTTTTTACTAAGGAGGCGTTCTATATCTCCTCCTCTCCAGTGGGTTTTTACAGCCTCTATTCCTATAAATTCAAATCCACTGATATTCCCTCCATGTACTTCCAAAAAATGTTTAGAAACATTGTGTAGGGTAAACTTTCTATTTATATTATAAATATGCTCCCTTATCCTTATCTTCAATGTTCTTGATGTCTTCCCAATATACTGTAAGCCACAGGGACAGACTATCATATAAATTATATTTTTTGAGTTGCATGTTATAAAGGATTTTATTTCATGTGTTTTTTTGTTCTTAAAAGAGATAAAATTGGTAACTTTTTTATGTTTATTCTTTCTTAAAATACAGCCTCTACATGTTCCACAGTAATAAAAACCTTTTTCTTTCTTGAACATAGATGTAGTTTGGGGTTTTTTTTCTTTGTCTAAAAAACTCGAGGTTAAAACTTGCTTGATATTCTTCGCTCCTCTAAAAACCACTTTAGGTTGTACTCCCAAATATTGATGTATCTCCTGATCTTGTTCTAAGATGTGCCAATTTTTCTTCATAATTTTTTGCAACTGATTACCGTGAGAACTGTAATTAAAAATGATCGGTACAGTTTTATCATTTTCTTTTTGTTCTTTTGTTCTATATTTTAAGGTATTAGTTCTTAATTCCTGTCCTACTTCATTTTTTATATTGGTTAGAGAATCATAGTTATACCCTTTTTCTACTAATTGACCAATTAACACTTTTGTCTGTTCCTCATATAGTTCAGGCTCTGTACAGTTACGCTTTATTCTTAAAAACGGTCCCTTTGGTATATTAGTTAGCCAGGGTCTAAAATGACAACTTTTTAAATTAATAAAACTATTAACGTCTACAGTTTTAAAAAAGGTTTTACTTTTTATCATATTATCTTCTATATAAATAGTCAGATCTAAAAAATTAATAGTCTGTGTGCTAATTTCCCAGGTCAGATTAATATTCCAATTGTTTTTATTTAAATTATTTAAAAAACATTTCAGAGATTCTTGCGTACCTCTCCATATTAAAAAAATATCATCTATGTATCTCTTGTAGAGGACCAGATTTGTCCCGAGCTCTGGCCTTGAGAAAATCTCAGATTCCTCCCAAGTTATTTAAAATCAGATGCTATGAAGGTTTTTGAAAAGGTTTGCACTAGGGAATTGAGAAGAATTGAACCTATTAAGGGACAACAAAATAATCTAACTAAAAATGAAAGGAAAGCATTACAGGACTTGAAGAAAAACTCTTCTATTGTCATTAAACCGGCCGATAAGGGAGGGGGGGTTGTGATATGGAAAAAAGAACAATATCTTAAAGTAATTTTTGAACAATTACAAGACCACGAGACATATCTTTTATTGCAAAAAAATCCTTTAGAGGACATAAAGAAAAAATTGGGTGAATTTATTAATCAAGGACTAGAACTAGGGTTATTAAATAAAAAAGAATATGATTTTCTTAATGTAAAATTCCCTAGAATTCCGTTTTTTTATGTTTTACCAAAGGTACATAAAAATGCAGAAAATCCCCCCGGAAGACCAATCGTTTCGGGGATTGGTTCCTTATTATCACCCTTATCACAGTTTTTAGATCAATTTTTACAAGATCCTGTTAAAAGATGTCCTTCATATCTTAAAGATACCATGTCACTTTTACAAATTTTAAACAGTTTTACTTGGGAGGAAGGTTTTACTATGGTCACTTGTGATGTCAGCAGCCTCTATACCATTATTGATCATAGAAGAGGCTGCTAGACATTTTTTAAAAAATGATACAGATTTGAACCCCGAACAAACAGATTTTATTATAGAGGGTATCCAATTGATCCTTTTTAATAATTTTTTTTGGTTTGAGAATAATTTTTATCTGCAGACCAAGGGGACAGCTATGGGGACCAGATTTGCCCCGAGCTATGCAAATTTATTTATGGCCCATTGGGAGGAATCTGAGATTTTCTCAAGGCCAGAGCTCGGGACAAATCTGGTCCTCTACAAGAGATACATAGATGATATTTTTTTAATATGGAGAGGTACGCAAGAATCTCTGAAATGTTTTTTAAATAATTTAAATAAAAACAATTGGAATATTAATCTGACCTGGGAAATTAGCACACAGACTATTAATTTTTTAGATCTGACTATTTATATAGAAGATAATATGATAAAAAGTAAAACCTTTTTTAAAACTGTAGACGTTAATAGTTTTATTAATTTAAAAAGTTGTCATTTTAGACCCTGGCTAACTAATATACCAAAGGGACAGTTTTTAAGAATAAAGCGTAACTGTACAGAGCCTGAACTATATGAGGAACAGACAAAAGTGTTAATTGGTCAATTAGTAGAAAAAGGGTATAACTATGATTCTCTAACCAATATAAAAAATGAAGTAGGACAGGAATTAAGAACTAATACCTTAAAATATAGAACAAAAGAACAAAAAGAAAATGATAAAATTGTACCGATTATTTTTAATTACAGTTCTCACGGTAATCAGTTGCAAAAAATTATGAAGAAAAATTGGCACATCTTAGAACAAGATCAGGAGATACATCAATATTTGGGAGCACAACCTAAAGTGGTTTTTAGAGGAGCGAAAAATATCAAGCAAGTTTTAACCTCGAGTTTTTTAGACAAAGAAAAAAACCCCCAAACTACATCTATGTTCAAGAAAGAAAAAGGTTTTTATTACTGTGGAACATGTAGAGGCTGTATTTTAAGAAAGAATAAACATAAAAAAGTTACCAATTTTATCTCTTTTAAGAACAACAAAAAAACATGAAATAAAATCCTTTATAACATGCAACTCAAAAAATATAATTTATATGATAGTCTGTCCCTGTGGCTTACAGTATATTGGGAAGACATCAAGAACATTGAAGATAAGGATAAGGGAGCATATTTATAATATAAATAGAAAGTTTACCCTACACAATGTTTCTAAACATTTTTTGGAAGTACATGGAGGGAATATCAGTGGATTTGAATTTATAGGAATAGAGGCTGTAAAAACCCACTGGAGAGGAGGAGATATAGAACGCCTCCTTAGTAAAAAAGAGATGAAGTGGATTTTTAATATGGAATCACTGTCCCCCTATGGTTTAAACATAGATTTTGAGATTAATTCATGTATATAGTATTAAGTGTTTTAAATGACTTTTTTAAAACTATTTTATATATTATATTATTTTAATTTAATCTATACGTTAAAAATGTTTTTTCCCCCGTTCTTCTTTTTCAATGATATATTCTTATGACTATTTTATGCATTTTGTTGATAAATTGTCTGTTAATGTGGGTTTTCCTCGTATATAGATGTATATATTAAGTATTTGGAAATGGATAAAAGACTGGCAAATTTTTCATGTCGAAAGACTTTCTAAAATGGCGCGGTTAGTGCTTCCGGGTTCGGCACCAGGAAGACGTCATGACGTAGCCGTTTGGCTAAGGAAAGATGATGTAAACAAAAACGTCATCACGTAACGTAACCGGAAGTCGCACAGTGATGACGAAAACGGAAGGCACACAGGACGCCGGAGAAAGGGCGCTGAAATTTGAAGGTATAAAGGAGCAAATAGAGAGATGAGAAACAGACCACTTGAGAAAGGCTGTGAGTGCCGAAACGCGTTGTGGTATACACAAAGGACATTTTACCTGTATTTACTATTAATTTTTAATTTTGTGAAGTATTTTAATAATAAATCAATTTGGATTCGATTTCTGCATCCTGGAGTAATTTTAGAGGATACTATCAGCGCGGATCCACAAGGTGTGATACAGGACGTCCAGAATAGAGATTTCTCATCTCCATACAAACCCTAAGTCTGAGTCAGCTTTTAAAGTGACTCAGAAATATGTGAGTTTAACCAGTCACATACAACATTTTGCACATATTTTAAACAGTATTATACTATGTTTCTGTGTTTTATGTTTTTTTAGATATTCCAACAAACAAAGTTCTGGTAAAATATTGTATTTGCATGATTTGAGTGCTCTCACCACCATTTTATATTTTGCACTACCGTGACATTATGATAGGGCCTTTCCTACCACAGTACAGGCAAACTCCCTCCTTTCTCCTATACAATTTTTCAGCATCAGAGTGTTTGGCAACCCCTAATTGCATGGGTTCCTCCTCTGATACCTTGGAACTCTCAGGATTAGCAAACCTAGGAGTATTTAATGTAACAAAATGTCTATTCCTATTCTTGGTATAGAGTCTGTCACAAATCCTATTGTCTATATCAATGAGATAGTTGATGAGATCTAGGACCGTCTGCAGCGAGAATAGAGGACCTCGGCCGCCCCCGGATAAGGTAAGTACCGGTACATTTCTCCAGGGCGGGGAGCTCTCCTCCTCCTCTCTGCCTCTTCAGCTGAATGCGCATGCGCGGCAGGAGCCGCGCGCATTCAGCCAGTCCATAGCAAAGCATTCACAATGCTTTCCTATGGACGCTGGCGTCTTCTCACTGTGATTTTCACAGTGAGAAACGCGGAAGCTCTCTATCGGCTGTCAATGAGACAGCCACTAGAGACTAGATTAACCCTAATATAAACATAGAAGTTTCTCTGAAACTGCTATGTTTATAGAAAAAAAGAGTTAACCCTAGATGGACCAGGCACGCAGACCACTTCATTAAGCTGAAGTGGTCTGGGTGCCCATAGTGGTCCTTTAAGAATTGAAGGGAAACTTATAGACAACCTTCCAATAGAAATTATAGAAATAAACATAGAGGATATTGATCTTAGTCAATGGAAACAAAATAAGTTTCTCAAATATTAAATGGTCAAAATAAAGGTAAAATGATAACAAAAATATCTCATCTAATGTATCTCTGTGAGGACTATCCTCATATACCAGCTATGAATATTTGGAATAAAGAATTACAGACTAAAATAAACCATAAAGAATGGTTAACAGATGGTATTATGATCCACTAAAACTATCAAAAATATATCCAAGCAACCCACCAACATGTTAGAGATGCGAAGCAATGAGAGCGGATTATATCGACATTTGGTGGTCATGCCCCAAAATAATTAAGATATGGCAAAATATTTTTAATTGGATAAAAAAATGGACAACAATTAAATACAGCACTACTCCATGTTGGTTGGCAAAGAATGTATAGGTATAAAAGAAACCTCATAATACATATACTACTGGCAACTAAGATAAACATCGCAAAAAAATGGAAATGTACCAATCCACCTAATATGGAAGAAATAAAAAATCAAATTATAATTTAATGTCGAATGGAACAAGGTATTTAACAAAACAAATATTTTAACTTGTTATATAAAAAAGAAGTGAGATGGGCAGATTGGATCCAAAAGATTAAACAAGAATAAATGGAAAAATTGTGAATAACAAAGAAAATGAGAAGACATGGAGCACAGAGAAGAGGGAGCAAAGGAAAGAGAAAGAAGGGGAAAGGGAAGAATAGGAGGGGAGAAAGTGAAAGAAAAATGAAAAATAGAATGAAAAGGAAAACACAAGGAAGGAAAGAATAAAGAAAAAGAAAGAGAAAGGGAGGAAAAGAAGCCGAGAGAAAAAAGAATATATATAAAAAAATGAAGAGAGAAACGAGAATAAACAATCATGTCTTGTCTCAAATGTCTAAGTGTGACAAAAACTTGTATATACACAACAGAATGAACCTTACAATTTCAATATTAAGTAGAGCAAAAAAAAGTAAATACATACCTAAAAAAACACACATATATATATATATATATATATACACACAGTTGCAAGAAAAAGTATGTGAACCCTTTGGAATGATATGGATTTCTGCACAAATTGGTCATAAAATGTAATCTGATCATCATCTAAGTCAGAACAATGGACAATCACAGTCTGCTTAAACTAATAACACACAAAGAATGAAATTTTGCCATGTTTTTATTGAACACACCATGTAAACATTCACAGTGCAGGTGGAAAAAGTATGTGAACCCCTAGACTAATGACATCTCCAAGAGCTAATTGGAGTGAGATGTCAGCCAACTGGAGTCCAATCAATGAGATGAGATTGGAGGTATTGGTTACATCTGCCCTGTCCTATAAAAAACACACACCAGTTCTGGGTTTGCTTTTCACAAGAAGCATTGCCTGATGTGAATGATGCCTCGCACAAAAGAGCTCTCAGAATACCTACGATTAAGAATTGTTGACTTGCATAAAGCTGGAAAGGGTCATAAAAGTATCTCCAAAAGCCTTGCTGTTCATCAGTGCACGGTAAGACAAATTGTCTATAAATGGAGAAAGTTCAGCACTGCTGCTATTCTCCCTAGGAGTGGCCGTCCTGTAAAGATGACTGCATGAGCACAGCGCAGACTGCTCAACGAGATGAAGAAGAATCCTAGAGTGTCAACTAAAGACTTACAAAAGTCACTGGCAAATGCTAACATCCCTGTTAGCGAATCTACAATATGTAAAACACTAAAACTAAAACATGTAAACAAGAATGGATTTCATGGGAGGATACCAGAGAGGAAGCCACTGCTGTCCCAACAAAACATTGCTGCACGTTTACAGTTTGCACAAGAGCACCTGGATGTTCCACAGCAGTACTGTCAAAATATTCTGTGGACAGATGAAACCAAAGTTCAGTTGTTTGGAAGAAACGCACAACACTATGTGTGGTGAAATAAAGGCACAGCACACCAGCATCAAAACCTCATCCCAACTTCGAAGTATGGTGGTGGGGGCATCATGGTTTGGGGCTGCTTTGCTGCGTCAGGGCCTGGACGGATTGCTATCATCGAAGGAAAAATGAATTCCCAAGTTTATCAAGACATTTTTCAGGAGAACTTAAGGCCATCTGTCTACCAGCTGAAGCTCAACAGAAGATGGGTGTTGCAACAGGACAATGACCCAAAGCATAGAAGTAAATCAACAACAGAATGGCTTAAACAGAAGAAAATACGCCTTCTGAAGTGGCCTAGTCAGAGTCCTGACCTCATGATTGAGATGCTGTGGCATGACCTCAAGAAAGCGATTCACACCAGACATCCCAAGAATATTGCTGAACTGAAACAGTTCTGTAAAGAGGAATGGTCAAGAATTACTCCTGACCGTTGTGCACGTCTGATCTGCAACTACAGGAAACGTTTGGTTGAAGTTATTGTTTCAACCAGTTATTAAATCCAAGGGTTCACATACTTTTTCCACCTGCACTGTGAATGTTTACATGGTGTGTTCAATAAAAACATGGCAACATTTCATTCTTTGTGTGTTATTAGTTTAAGCAGACTGTGATTGTCTATTGTTGTGACTTAGATGATGATCAGATCACATTTTATGACCAATTTGTGCAGAAATCCATATCATTCCAAAGGGTTCATATACTTTTTCTTGCAACTGTATATATATATATATATATATATATATATATATATATATGTATATATATATATAAAAGAGAGAAGAGAAAATAAATTTAATATAAAACTGCAATGTTTTTGTTCATGTGTTTCTGTCTTTTGTTTATGTATTGGTCTATATGTATGGAAATGTGATTTGTATACTTTTGAAAAACAAATAGACATATATATATAGTTCCAATTGCTTGCACTCCTGGATTAATAGTAAAAAGCCCGGTGCTTAACAGCCAAATAATAGAAATAAAGAAATGATAGCACTCCAAGTACTTCGAAAATATCATGAAAAAAACGTAGCTTTTTATACAGGCATCTGCCACAGAAGATCAACGTTTCAGTTCTCTAAGGAACTTTCGTCAGGATACAGGGCAATACAAACAACAGTGTTTAAATAACCAACAAGTACATTAACATAATCAATAAACTGTATACAGGCTGTACTCACAATTAACCCTTGGTGTGGTTGCAGCTGCTGCATATATATATGTATAAAACAAATTATCATCTGTTTATTCAATAAATGCTATATTTGGTATGATGCAATTTATACACAAGGAATTCATAAATGGACATGCCAGTTCTCTTTATTCTTAAAATTTACTAACCTGTTATTTCTGTTGTAAGTTAAAAGTCTGTCTTCTTTCTTTTTCAAGGAAACAATTCCTCCAGAATAGATTTTTTTTAAAGTAACACCTGCAGATCAGATGCTTATCTTATTAAAATGTGAATGTGTAAGCCATGTGGACGGAGGTGATAAAAAAACGGTGAATTTCTAGCTTCATAGAAACATAGAATGTAACTGCAGATAAGAACCATCACGTTCTATGTTTCTATTTAGCTAGAAACTCACCTGTTTTTTTATTACCACTGTTTTCTTGGCTTCCACATTCACATGTCAATACGATAAGCATCTGATCTGCGGGTGTTACTATTATATTACAAATTCCATTGAAAAAAAAAAATCTATTCTGGATGAACGGTTTCCTTAAAAAAAAAAGGACAGACTTCTAACTTAAAGCAGAAATAACAGGTTAGTAAACTTTAAGAACAGAGAGAACTGGCAGGTCCATTTATGAATCCATTGTATATATATATATATATATATATATTGTATATACAGTGAGTAGATAGGTACAGTGGGTGGGATAGTTTAAGGTGTGGTTAGATAGCTTTCTGCTAGTCTACAGGTTTAAGCATCATAAAAGGAAGTAAGTTTTGATAAATTGTTCTTAGCTTCTCATAAGACAGACAGAAGGAATGATTAAAAATGATTTTATTTTTTTGTAAAAGTAAGTGATTGTTTCAATTTACTGTTTTTGTTTGTGATCTTGATGTAAATGCTACACAGTAGTGGATTAGGTTTATTCAACCTCTGAGATGGATGGGCAGATGGATGATAAATATGGACTTCAGAAACCTGAAGAACGTCCGTATTGTAACTATTCTAACTATTAACGTAACTAATGCGTTTGTGTGCTGCAACTGCCTTCTTCAAATTCCACCAGAGATGTCTATGGGGTTCAAGTCAAGTGACTGTGATGGACATTGCAGAATTTTCCAGGACTTCTTCTGAAACCGAGCCTTGGTGGAATTTGAGGTATGCTTGGGATCATTGTCTTGTTGGAAGGTCCAATGATGGCCAAGCTTCAGGTTCCACACAGATGGCATGACATCTTTCATTTTTGATTTTTTAAACATTTTGTTAATTTAAATTTGAATTTTAACGACCCCCCGAAACACTCAGCATACAGGCAGAGCATCAGAAGCTCCACGTGGGGAAACCCGGACGTGATCACTCTGGGCGAGCAATCACATGGGGATCCGGCAGTGAGGGGGGGTATTGTCTTGCTGCAATACCGTTAGAGCTGCTGGAAGTGATCATGATCGCTTCTAGCACTCTAATTAGCTACGGATGGGCAAGGTACTTCCACAGTCCTTATGGACCGTTTTTTGTAGGACATGCCCTGCACGTCCACGGTCACTAAGGGGTTAAACCAAGGCTGTCAAACCCTATCTACCAAATATTTGTGGACTACAATTCTCAATAATTCTCTGCCCTTGAATTGCATTCAAACTATTTTGGGAGTTGTAGTACAACAACAATCTTTGGGGAGGGTTGGAATTTGACAACGCCTTATCAAGACCTCATTCCCACACTCACCTACCTCATGCTCCCACACCGCATTTCTCTCTCACTTCACAAGGACGCCATGTTGGAGCACGACCCCCCAGGTAGCGCGGTCAGTGTCAATGGTATTTAGCACATTAACCTACTGCTAATATTAGCAAAAATATTTTCAAGGTGACTCGGCACCACAAGTGTTATTTCCAGGTCCTCCTTGTAAAAGGGACACTCAAGAGGCTAGTTGGAGGAACACAGAGCCGCCCTCAGGACATGACAACCGTGACGATTGTCATGGGCCTGGCAGTCCTGGAGTCCTTGGCCTCACATTCCCTATGCGCACAGATATATAGCATTTATCTCTATATATATGTTCACCTTGCAGCCTGTGGCAGTCCGAGGTGAGGAGAGGTGCCTGCTCTCTTCGTTCTTGAGTTGACTACAGAGATCAAGCATGCTCCAACCCTACCCCTATACCCATGGACCAATGGGCTTATCCCGCTCCTCCCTGGGGTGATGTCACACTCACACTCACCTAGCCTAGACTTGATGGATCCCACGGTGCTGGATTACTAAACCCCGCAAGCTAAGATGGCCATCGACACAATGCCCTTAGCATCCCTAATTCCCATGACCTGGGCCACACAGAAAGACCGCATAGCCATGTCATTTAAGCACTTCCGGAGGCAATTCTGGAATAGAACCCAGCAGCAGATTAAAAAGCCTGTCACTACAGCTTTGACCGAACCTGGCCCCTCACGGAACACCGCCAAGTCAAGACATGCTGGGCGAAAAAGCTCAGAAGCCGTCAGCCTGATCCTGCTGCTCCCTGTGGCCTTCATAGACCACAGATCCTCATGGGAAGCCACCTTCGGCGTCACACACTCCCTCGGATGGCCCTCATTCACCGCGAGCTGAAGCCTGGCAATGGGCCCATGGATAAAGTCCTGCCAGCAACCACACAAGACACTTATGGGACTGGTGCAAAGAATTGTATTTTTAAGCAGGGCTGGTGGGGTCCTATAACAAGGGACTCTTGTAAATTCTCTAGCCAGGTCCAGGTGTACTCATTGCAGGGCATAGGTTTAGCGGAGGGATAGCCGTGGGCAACCTCTTACATTCATAGATGGGGGTTATCTGTTAGTTTTTATTTGTTTGGGTTTTTATATCGTTTGTTGTCACACTCACTTCTAAGAGAGATGTCAGTTAATATAGCGTGACTCCTTTCTTGTGTTTATGCTCTGACATTCTATTATTGCATCAATTCAGCAAATATTTATTGAGTACTACATTGAGTCAGCTTCCACTCTACCTTCCCTTCCACCTTCCACTCTAACAAAAAACAGTACGGTTAACTCTTGACAGTTCATAGTACTGTTGGATTTCTAACTTGTTATATGTCATATTGTGAATTGTCTATGCATTCTATATAGCAACTAATTTGTCTGTTTCTATCACCTTCCTCCCCTATCCCTCAGACATAATTGGATTATCACTAAATATCAGGCTACTTTTTTGTTTATTTTTTTTGTAATATATTGTAATAAAAATTGTGCTCCTTATTAGTGGAGAGCACTGGGATTTCCTGTTATTCTATTATCTCAATTAAGGGTTACCCCCTCTCGCGGAGCCCAGTTTAGGTGAACTTCCTCCATATAAGAGGGAGATTCGGTTATACCCTCCCCCTGTCTATGTGTGAAGGGCAACCACTGTATCTCTTTTCGAGTTACTGTTCTTAATTTACTACCCACACACTACATTCACAATACACCATACATAAAAAATCTACAGTCACTAAATACATTCTGTAGTTACTTTACACACACTACATCGTTACACAAACACACACTCTGCACACACTGCAGTCACTAAACACGCACTACATTATTACACAAACACACACTCTGCAGTCACTATACACACTACACAAACACACACACACTGCAATCATTATTGGCATAGTATACAAACACACACTCTGCTGTCATTATGCGCACACTACATCCTTACATAAACACACACTCTGCAATCATTATAGGCACACTACACAAACACACACTCTGCAATTGTTATAGTCACAGTATACAAAAACACACACTCTGCAATCATTATAGGCACAGTATACAAACACACACTCTGCAATCATTATTTTGTTTTTTTAATTCACCACTGTACTCTGCTTAGTACATCAACCATAGAGTAATAACACAAAACATATTGCAAGCATTTAACCCCTTCATTTTTTTTTAGTTTATTTCCTTTTTTTTTTTTTATAAATTTAAATTTGATTATAAAAGTAATTATATTGAAATTACTGACCTCTAAGATTAATGGAGTTGGGTTTAGATTAGATTACATTTTTACAATTCAAGGAATATTCAAGTACGTTCCACATGAAAACCATTACTAGCATTATTCAAGGCACAAAGGCTTAATAAACAATAAATGATACGTAAAAATAAACCAAATTGTTAAACGTCACAGACTATCATATAAAATATTTACTGCACAACCCAATGTTTAGTGAATTTCTCGAAAACAATAGATTTGTAGGATTTTAATATTTGAACTCGAACATTTTCATTTGTTCTAAATAGAAATCTTGTTTTTTTGATTCTTATTCAATTATTTCTGATGATTTCTGATTAAATAATCATCTGTTCATTCAATAAATGCTACGTTTTATATCATGCAATATACATATAGAATGAATTCATCAATGGACCTGCCAGTTCTCTCTGTTCTTAAAGTTTACTAACCTGTTATTTCTGGGTTAAGTTAAAAGTCTGTCTTTTTTTTTTTCAAGGAAACGGTTCCTCCAGAATAGATTCTCTTTTCAATGGAATTTGTAAAATAATTGTAACACCTGCAGATCAGACGCTTATCTTATAGACATGCGAATGTGGAAGCCAAGGGGACGAAGGTGAGCAAAAACAGGTGAGTATCTAGCATCAGGTACAGTGGGTGGGATAGTTTAAGGTGTGGTTTGATAGCTTTCTATAAAAGGAAGTAAGTTTCGATAAATTGTTCTTAGCTTCTGATAAGACAGACATAGAAGAAATGATTTTAAATTATTCTATTTATTTGTAAAAGTAAGTGATTGTTTCAATTCACTGTTTTTGTTTGTAATCCTAATGTAAATGCTACACAGTTTTGGATTAGGTTTATACAACCTCTGAGAGGGATGGACATATGGATGATAAATATGGACAGTATAAAACCTAAAGATGTTAGGATGTAACTGTAACGGATTCCCTATACTCCGACTGAGTATATCAGTTGAAGAGTCTCCCAGGTCTCGAAATGAAGCAGTGATTATAACTCTGATCTACCCAAACATCAGTCGAGACTTCATGAAGGGTACAAAAAAAATGTTTTATTAGGGTCAAGTGGCCTGGTTATATACATGGTCCCCCAGCACGGGGTCTCCATGCATTAAGCCCACCCAGGCATCTCTGGGAGATAAGGGAGCTTTCTTTAGCTGAAACTAATTATATCCCAGGCACTGGAAGGTAGAAAATATTACAGAAAACACACCAAAATACACATAATATTGATAGGAACCCCCACAAGTATTGTTTTCCCAGATAACTTGGATCTGAGCACCCACGTTGTCCAAATAGAGCTCAGATCCATGAATTCTAGCCGAATCGGCACCGGTGTAATCACCTTTCGGGAGTTCCTATACAAAATCAATCAAATGTTTCCCCTGGCTCGTAGGTGGTGAATGTTCACCCAGTCAGCGCTCTCCTGTCTTGTCGGGAACAGAAGCAGGCGTCGGTACAAAGTCACAGAGGTTCGAGAGTGTGGGTGTCCATCTTTGCGTTCCAGACACCTGATGACCAAGTGCCGCTATCTGCGTTCAGGAGACAAGATGACCGCCATTTTCCAGCGGCCACCCAAATAGAGCACTTAAGTTTGTGGTTGTTTTGTAGTTAACGAGCCAGAGGGGTGGTCAGTGTTTGGTAGGTTGCATATACCGAATGAAAGAAAAACACTTTGGGTTCAGAGAAACTTGGAAACTGACCTAGGAGGAACTATTCTTAGAAGCTGAGACATAGTGAGTTTGTCACATCGCTTCCCCCCAGTTCCATGAATTGGCATACCCGCCTAGACCCTAGACATGTTGGCTTAGGGATGTCCAGACAAGACGTAGTCATTTCCCTAGTTCGGTTTGCTGGGACAACACATCAAACAAGAACCACAACAGGGCAATGAGTACAGCATCGTACACCTGAAACCCGGGCAATACCCAATTCCACCACAGGCAGTTTTTCCCCTCTCGTGGAGCTATCCAAGGACGTGGATCTGCTTCTCTCCGTGGTTGCACTGCTACAGGAAATGGACCTTCCTTATTCTCACATACCTATTGCAGGCCGGTTAACCCTTTTTTCCCAACAGTGGATGCTTTCGGACCTGACAAAGGAATTGTATCAGTACTACCTAGACAGGAATATCTCCCTTTGGGCAGAATATCTACCAGGATCAGACAACCTCGTCTCAGACTGGTTTCCCTGACACTGGAGGGATTCCAGCGATTGGCAACTGGACCCACAGATCTTTCACCGTCTGCAGATCTGGCGGGGACCATTCAACCTAGATCTGTTTGCATCTCGCCTCAACCGTCAGACGGGCGCATTTTTCAGCTGTCTGCCAGATCCAGCGTGCCTTGCAGCCGATGCCTTCTTACGACGTGGCCAACATCCGGAGCATATGCGTTCCCTCCATTCTCCATGATCCCATGCACACTACAGTATCTCAAAACTCAGATTTTCCCCTGCTTCTACCAACCTCCTGCGATCTCCTCAGGGACCCAGCAAGCAATTTTTACCCGTTGGCACTTCAGGATCATATCCAACTCATGGCTTGGACCATTTCAGGGGATCCTGGAATGTCTCAGGCCTTTCGGCTACTGCTCAGGGACTCCTTTGGGACTCATGGGCCCCAGGAACTAGATGCTCTTACATCTCCGCATGGCGTCACTGGAGTTGCTGGTGTTTGGAAAGGGACATTGACCCGTTTTCAATGTCTATAAGTAATATTATTAAATTCCTGTTGTTTCTTTTCGACCAGGGCAAATCCTACCAGTCTATTAACGTGTTTCGATCTGCTATTTCTGCAACGCATGATCCACTTAAAAGTGTGTAGACTCTTGCGTGGCACCCGCATCGCTAGGCGTCTGGCTCCTAAATATAATCAATTCTGGGATGTGGCCCTCATGCTAGCATTTTTAGAATCTTGGCCAGACAACGAGGCGCTCTCTCTACGCCAACTGTCAGCCAAATTAGCACTGTTTGGTCTCCTTCTGGAGAGTCTCCAACATCAAGGCTTTTGACTTTCATGCCCTCGATTTCACTCCGGAAGGGGAGCACTTTCACATCACTAGCGCACCAAGACCAATTCATCTACAGTGAGCTACCCTTATTTTCCTGAGAAACCCCTCCTCTGTGTAACCCATTGAGTAAGACACTACATCTCTTGTACTACACCTCTTAGAGCATCTACTGGGCCCCTCCTTGTGTCTTATGTGCAACCACATAAACCAGTGTCCTGCCCTACTATTGCTCGGTGGCTTCTAGCTCTAGCTGGCATTGATGCATCTTTTGGGGCTCACTCAGTTAGAGGCGCTGCCGCCTCTTCCGCATTTATGGCTGGAGGCTCCCTGGTGAAGATTTTGTGCTCCGCCGATTGGTCTAGAGAGTCTACTTTTGTACCTTTTATTTTAAACAATCTCCACATGTTTCTCTATCCATGCTATCTACGTGTTAAAACAGCAAATATGAAGCCTCCTGTCTTGCCATAAAATTCGGGATTATTCTAACATGTAGTGACCGAATAATCTAAATTTTATTAAAGACAGGAGGTGAATATTTTCCCACCCTGGAATTCTTTTACACACCCTTCTAGGTAAGAATCTCTTAGTGCCTCCATCTCTACCTCGGTAGCTAGCATTCTCTTGGCTTGTCCTTTTTATTTGGCCTATACTTGTCAGTTAATTTATAACATTTGTAATCTTGCATTCAAATTGAAAATTAGTTTCATTGCATTTTAATTTTTTTTTTCCTCTTGCCCGAGAGATCATACTTTCATGATGTTTCTCTTTCCTTCTAGTGTGAAGATCTTTTGTCATCCCCGTTTCAAGACCTCCCAGAAGGTTGAGCACGTTTTTCCTCCTACTTGATCTTAAATGGTTCTCTACGCATCGTTCTCCTGTTCTACGTTTACATGGTTGACCCTACGGCTGTTCGGCTACATCAAGAAAGAGGAGTTGGGAGGAGCCTGATGGCAGTTTATATTACTATGATGCATGCTGATTGGTTAAACTTTTTTACACTGATTATTAACTATTTCTTTGCTGCTAGGAGTTACAGTAAAGAGAGATAAGCAAATATGAAGCCTCCTGTCTTTAATAAAAATTTAGATTATTCGGTCACTACATGTTAGAATAATCCCGAATCATAGATTCCAGTTACTACTACTTAGCAATACAAGTACTGACTAGTTATTTGGAGTAACCTGTTTTGTTTCTTTTTACTATATGTCTTTGGATTGTTAGGATATCCAAGTACCAGAGTTTGCTGCCAGTTTTGGAGTCAGCGCTGCATCTATTTACCTTTTGCTTGAATTTGTACCCTTTATAATAGTAGCTGCTTTCTCCATCTATCTCTCACATTGTCTAGATAATATAGGAATAACCATGTTTTAAATATAGACACTTTTACTACCAAGAATTGCAGCCCTATACGAGAAAACCATACTAGAGAGAACCTTTTTATAAAACTTGAAAGATTCCTGAGCTCCGAAATTAAATTAAAATGGGATATCGCCACATTGAAAAAATATATTGACGAAAAAACTTACACCAAGAGGCATAAGGATTTTTACAACATCCGATCAGGATGATGATGACTATATGGCTGTCTTGAATGAGAAATATGACATTTGTAGTTTTGGATTATTGATAACTAGTGATGTCTCGAACGGTTGGCCGAATGGTTTGCGAACGGTTCGCCACGAACGGTTCGCCACGGACTCATCATTGAGTAAACTTTGACCCTGTACCTCACAGTCAGCAGACACATTCCAGCCAATCAGTAGCAGACCCTCCCTCCCAGACCCTCCCACCTCCTGGACAGCTCACTAAGAATGCAGCTTCACAATGAATGTAAAATGGATGCTGTCCAGGAGGTGGGAGGGTCTGCTGCTGATTGGCTGGAATGTGTCTGCTGACTGTGAGGTAAAGGGTCAAAGTTTACTCAATGATGAGTCCGTGGCAAACCGTTCGTGGCGAACCGTTCGGCGAACCGTTCGGGACATCACTATTGATAACCAAAAAAAAAAAAAATTACCTTGCTTGAGAATGATATCAACCAATTGAAGGAGAAACTCTTTCCATTTATTGATACAAGAGAATTCAAACAATTCCATCATCAGTCAGATACCAAACACATCAAAGTGAAAAAAAATATCGGGGACAAATAATGACACATTATGGAGAAAGAAATACATACATGTTTTTTTAAAAAAACAACCTTCATTTCACCGCTCCCACAATATATCACCACAATACAATCAGAAACCCTTCCCTTCATAAACATAAAAATCCACATACTATGGTAACACTACCACGCTTTATAGAACTAAAAGATAAATATCCCCTCTCTATCACAAATTACCACCTCACAAAAAATCTCACTACACCAATCAACATCAAGACCGTGTGAATACATATTTTCCTCCTATATTGTTACCATACCAGGGAGTTTTTTTCCATCAAGATTTGTACCATCTACTCCAGGTAATAGAATATATTTTTCCACATTGGGTTGTGCTGTGTGGGTACGCACTATAACACTGTTTGTTTTGTGCCTAAGACACAGTATATTACAGATGCAAGAAAAAGTATGTGAACCC